ATATCCTCTTTAATCGTGAATACTAGCATTTTTTTAGATATTATTTAAAGTTTAAAGCTTAGATTAAACCGAAGAAAATGTATCTAACTTTATCTTATCAAGTATTAACTTACAAAAAAATTTACAAAACATATACCATCGATATTTATATGCTTAGCTTAATCGAATCCTATCAAAATTCTTACAAATTTATAATTAAATTCATAAATCTAAACATAATCAGTTAAAAGACACTGATAATAATCTAATCAGTTCTCTGGAAAAACCCATTCTTTGTCGCCATCACATATATTACGGCCACTTGGCTGTGGATTCTCCCATCAGGCTCATTATTCCCGCTTCCCGTTACTCGTCCTCTCTCGCATCCTGGCTGCCATCTATTTTGGAAAATGGCCGGAATAAAAGGCAAAACGGGGGAGCCACAATTTTCGCATTTGATTTAATTGTGAATGTATTTATTAAATAAATTATTCATGGCCAGGGCAAGTGCACTTCGCCATGTGAATGTGCTGCGGCTGACCTAAACATGTCCTGGCCGCAGGAGAGCCGTCACCGGTGCACAGCAGGATATATATACACATATATACATATATGGGAAGTGGCCGAAGGATAGGAGGGGAACCTGCCTGCCTGCCTGTGTGTTCCGTTTGCCACTGTAATTAGTTGTGGTGGAATAATCGCATGCGACCGGCGACATTTCTCTGTGGCAAGGAATGTTCGGTGGTTTCGGTACCCATACCCCTCTCTCCACTCTACTTTTCGTCCTTGCATATGTGACCCGGGGCAGGAGGAGGTAGCAAAGGGTCAAAGGGGCTGCGATCTGTGGGCGGGCGAGAGGTAATGGTATAAATTCGGAATGAGCCCTACGAATTTACCATAATAAAGGGGTGTACGAGTGCGAGTGCGACTATGACGATGAGGATGTGGATGGAAACATGTGTTTATGTGTACAATAATGGGCTGCGGGCTGAGGGGGCGTGACCACTTGTGGTCGGGCGGTGCGGGCAGTTGGTGGTGCTTGCATTTTGGCCTTTCTCCGAATCGGTGACATTTTAATTTACCCAAGCGAGAAAACCAATTTTGTTGCAATGAACCAAAATGCAAAATGTGACAAATGCCACAGCAGCAACGGCAATGGCAACGAGCAGGCAACAGGGCTCTAGCATAGCATTGTTTCTGTGCATAATTTATTCAACATTTATTTATTGGAAGTTATGATTTGCATTCTGTGGCTGTCAAGGGGTCGTCCTAGGGCAGGAGTTCGTTCCCCCAGCCTCACTTAATTGACTTTACAAAATTACATTTGCATTTGACCAAATTAACTGAAATGAATAAGCCCCTTCAACGGCAGTCCCTGGTCTATCCCGGCTCCTGTTTTTGATTCGGGCTAATAAATGAGGTATAAATCAATGGATATGAGATTTGCAGTTTCCCAGGTTCTCGCTGGAACTAGTTTGTGTGTGTGTGTGTATGTCTGCCATAGGGATGAAGTCGATTTTGTGCAAGGATTTTGATTGCAGGGGCTTACGGACATACGAAAGGGCTTATTAATATGATAATTATAATTAGATGTAAGCAGTTAAGTGATGATTATCGAAAATTGGGAATATATTTTTGTAGAATGTGCTTAGGGGGAGATGTTGAAGATTTTGGTATTCTTGGGTTGGAATTAAGTAATAAGAATTAGGAAACATAAGCGGGTTCGTTCATTGTGGGTTCCTTATTTTTTATTACAAAAATTATAAATATTTTATTGTATTAAAACTACTATCTATTTCCTTTTATAAAGTTCAAATACATTCTGGGATTCTTTGAAATACAAGTTTTGTTTTGTTACAAAATGGAAGAAATATTATTAACTTGAGATTTATTCGGCTTCCAAGAATTACTAAAGATCATTTTTCGGTAAAAGACCTAGTGCTGTGAGTTGTTTGTACAACGACTTTAGCTTTATTCAAACAAGATAATTGCCAAAAATAGAAGAAATTCTAAAGTCTTACCAACCATAAGAAAAAACGGTACAAAATGTATATTTTTTCCAATCAATTCCTAAAAAAAGACATTAATAGCTTTCGATTTTATAATCCTTAAAGGAATGGAATCCTCCCTTGGCATAGCTTATATAGTATATATACAAAATATATGTCGTTCCGTTATAGTTTAGATTTTGACTCACTCTCTCGGGGCTTACAGTTGCACCCATTCCGTTTGATGGACTATGCAAATTCCTCGGCGCTTTAATGGCCATCTAGAATAGAAAAAAAAAACAAGCTAGCCATGCTATATGGCAACATGGCAACGGGGCTACATGGCGCCGCAGCGGATGGAAACGGGAGTCGAGTCTTGCGGTGCTCTCGTGTCAGTGCGCTGATTAAATTCGGCAAATATCGCTGATGCCAGCAAATCGCCGCTCAATGCATCTTTCTCTGCATCTCTCTGGCCGGGAGTGTGTGTGTGTGCCAGGGTGCGTGGGTGTTTGCTGCAGGGTGTGGCATCTGAGTCAGGTTAGGAACTAGAACTGGGATCTGGCCTGGACTGGGCTGGGCTGGGCTGGTGTTGGTGTTGGGGTCTGGGATCTAGGGTCTGGGACCATGTTGAAGTACACAAAACCCAGGCAAACAAACAGGCATTTCATGGCAAACAACAGCACCGGGTGCTGCAGAAAAGGGGTAAGGCAGATGAGGATGACGGGACGGGACGGGAACTACTCTCTAGTTTTCCCCGACACCACACCACGCCACACCCCGCTCTGCACTTGCCTCGGAGAGCCCACAGGCTGAGTTGGGCAAACTGGCAAATACGGCCAGCCACGTCAACGTTGGCATCATCGTCATCGAGGCATCGAGGAGCTTTGTTTGGTTTGTCCAGGGGGTTGGGTTTTGTGGGCTAGTGTAGGGTATATGGGTTAGGGTATGAGTGGGGGTTTTCCAACCCTCAACCTGCTCCCAACTCATTCGCATTCGCAGTCGTCGGCATTTTATTGTTCTAGTCGTCGACATCGATGTTAGTACTGCAGTTTCGGGCATTATTTCGGTTTAGTTTGGTAAATACACATGCAGCAGAGCAGCCAGCACATGCACGTTCCCATTCCCATTCTCCCTGCCATTGCCACTCCCATTTCCATTTCCATTTCCATGTTCAGGGAACCTACATCCCAGATCCCAGCCAGCACTCAGCCCACTTTCATAAACGACGCCAAAACGCTCTAAACCATGAGCTTATGCAGCAGACGACGCTATCATGATGTTCCACTAAGGGTGATGACGATGATGATGCAGTGCTGCAGCTGCATTCTTCAATGCATTTTTCCTTCATTTAATAAAAGCTTTCTCTCTCCTTGAAGCACAGGCTGGCACAGCTTCCACTTGGATGGCAAAAGCCAGTAAATAAATAAAACCCAAAGGAGAAGCAAGGCGAGTGAGGTGATAATATTTACCCATAGAACCACAAAAGTTTTTCTCTAGTTTTGTTGAATTGTTGATTTTCACAAAAATCCAAAATATTTGCAACTCTCGAAGCGAACACACAGTTTCTAGTGTGTAGCAGAGTTCTTGTCCCCACTCCCCATTGCTACCCTTGCGGAAAAACCACTTCCAGTGCCAGTTTCCAGTTGAGAGCTGGCAGCTTTAAGGTTCACAAAGGACCAGCCAGCCAGCGAAATGGTTTTCCAAATACATGCCGTGCCAGCCTCATAACATCGTTGTCCTCGATGTCGTTGCAAATTCCATTCGGCATTGAATGCGTGTGCAGCTGGAGCAGGAGCAAGAGCAGGAGCCGTAGCCAGAGATGGCGCAGTAGGTGCAGCAGCAAGGCAGTACTATCCAGGAGTTCTCTCCTGGTCCGCCGACCTGAAAGGGGCGGGCTCGGGGGTGTGGCTGTCATATCTGAAAGCAATTTCGGAGCGGGCAACCCGAAAACGAGTAACAAGAATCGATAAATTCGTTGGGCGTGCAATTTGCGCCGTGCGGAGGTGCCTCAAAGGAACAGCGGCGGGTATAGCGGGTACGGCGGGAGATGGCAGGGGTAAAACCTGCTGCCATCCAGCCCAATCCCGCCCAGCTGCGCCCTCTCGTTTCGCATGCCTGAGTGGACCATGTCCGAAATTCAAGTTTCGGGCCTTTACCATTTGCATTCAACCAGCGTCAACCTGCTGGCCATGGAGTGACTGCTCTTGTTCTGGCTTCTGCTCCTGCTCCGACTCCTGTCTGATGGTGGCATAGGCACCGGCACCCGTTCACCTGGCTTCCATCCACCTTGTCACCAGGCTATGCAAATTGCCGCATATGCAACGAAGCGTATGCGCAATTTTTGCCCGTCACACAACTCGCGGACATCAATCAGATATTAGCAGAGGAAATTCGAACGAACACAATCCAACCATCTAGGCTCAGTTCCCCCCAGGGGGAGAGGAGGCTCGGGAAGCTGGTGAAGTGTCGCATTACAGGGACACCGAACCGCGAAAACTGTTCTCTGGGGTTCTTACCACTTTAATGATGGTGTTGCTTAATGTTCGTGAATGTTACTAGGAAAATGTATAATGATAGATGCTTTAAGATACTGAAAAAGTGAACACCGGTGGATTTTGTGGTGCACTTTTGACATGGATATCTTTATTATCTAGTAACTTTTCTTATAAACCTAATGATTTTTAAATATTTAAATTTATTGGTTAATGTTTTTCTAAGGCAACAAGTTTAAAACTTAATTATTAGTGCGTTAGTTACATTAGATTAGTAATAATCAATAACAAGATAATTCTTAGTCTAAACATTTTTCATATTATATAATATTTATAGAACCCATACCCTTACCTCCGTTTGATTTAGGGGTGATTTTCAATGATATGATATATTTAACCCGCTTTCTTCTTACACAAAAAATCGTATACACCACAAAAATGAGGCCTTGGATTGCAGTAAAGAAGATAATATTAGATAATTTAGAAGCAAACATTCACTCTCCCAGCATCTACTAACTCCATTTATTTTTTCCATTTACAGTGCCGCCAAAGGGTGGACAGAAGCGACCTGCCACCAGCCCTGCGCCGCATATCCCAGTGCCGCACCACCTGCAGACGCCTCCTGGTGGCGGTGGTGGTGGCGGCGGTGTGCCAGGATCCACGGTGGCCAACAGCCCGGCGCCCACGTCGGCCGGCGGCAATGCCCTGCTGAACCACGCCCTGCCCAGCAACCACATCGGCACCCCATCGCCGCAGCATTCCCACCAGCAACACCAGCAGGCAGCGCAGCAGCACCAGGCCCAGCAGCAGGCTGTGGCCGCTGCAGTGCAGCAGCAACTGGCAGCAGGCGTGGGTTTGCCCCCAGGAGCCATTGGAGCCGCATCGGCGGCCAGTAGTCGTGGCTCCTTCGCCGCCGCCCTGCGCACGCTGGCCAAACAGGCGGACAACAAGGAGGACGATGTGGGCGGAGATAGGAGCGTACCCACTTCAGGGACAGGCGGACCACCGCCATCGGCGGGTCCAGGACCGCTCAATTCTGTGGCAGGACGTGTGGGCTCCGAGCGTTCTGGAGAGGATCGAGTGGCCAGCAGCAAAAAGCGCTCACCGCCCTCGCCCCAGCCGCCGGAGAAGATAGCCCGACTCAGTCACACGCCGCAAACGGCGTCACTGCAGCCGGAGCTTTTGGCCAGGAGCGGATTCCAGCCTTATAGATCGGACGAGCGACTGATGCATCCGGCAGGCGCCTTTCCCCTAGAGGCGTACTCGCACTTTGCGGGTCTGCCGGGGATTCCACCAGCAGGTGAGCAGAAAAGATAAAATGGAGATGAATTAAAGGTTATATATATAATTTTTTTAAATTATTTGCAGCTTTCCTTAACCCCGCTGGACTGCCGTATACGGAGCAGCTGTACCTGGAGCACCGCTACCAATTGTTCCGCGCCGCCAGTGCCCATCCCTCGCATCCGCATGCGGCCGCACTGTATCCGCAAATGGCCTCGCCCTACTCCCACCTCTACTCGATGATGCCGGGAGCAGCGCTGGGCATCTCGCCGGCCATGCACGACCGGATCAAGCTAGAGGAGGAGCACCGGGCGCGATTGGCGCGCGAGGAGGAGCGCGAGCGGGAAATGCAGCGGGAGAAGGAGCGAGAGTTGCGCGAGCAGCGCGAGAAAGAGCAGCGGGAGAAGGAGCAGCGCGAGAAGGAGCAACGCGAGCGGGAGCGAGAGCAGCGTGAGAAGGAGCAGCGCGAGAAGGAGGCGCGGGAGCGCAAGCTCCGGGACGAGGAACGCGAGCGGGAACGGGAGCGTCAGCAGCTGCTGAACGCCTCGCACCATTACTCCAATCAGCTGTACTCCCCGCTGAACCGAAACCTCCTCGGCTCCATGATTCCTCATATCAATCTTAGTCTACGCGGACCGCCGGGGGCGTTGCACGGCCTGCCCGGTATGTCGCATTACCACGCGGCAGCGGCCAACGCCCAGCGGCAGAGTCCGCATGCCGCCATGGGTCTCAATCTGGGCATGGCCGGCCTTCAAGGCGTGGGCGTCTCTCCACTTGGGGGCCACGGACCGCCCAATCTGCAGCACCATTTGCAGCAGGCGGCCATGGGTTTGGCCCATCCGGGGGCTGCTGGTCTCACGCATCCCGGTTTCTCGGCTGCCGCCCTCGGGCTAAGTGCTCATCCCCACAGCTTGAACCTCAGTCATCCGCATATGTCGCCGCATCATCCCGCCTCGCTGGCTGCCCACCAGCTGCCGCCGCACACTTCGACGGCCGGCGGAGGAGGGCTTAGCAACTCCATTCCCGTGACAGCCAGCTCCAGTCTATCGGTGTCCTCGCCCCACAGCAGCCTGAACCTGACCTCGGCCGTGAAGCTCAACTCGGAGCAGGTGCCCACCTCGACGCCCAGCGGCGTCAGTGGGAGCGGCCTGCCGCCTACCACCTCCAGCTCGCACATTCCCAGCATGGGTTACTACCACCACCATGGCCACCTGGCGGCCATACATGCAGCGGCGGCAGCCGCCAGCGGAATGACCCCGACGGCCGCCCACCAACAGCAGCCGATCTCGCTACCCAGCTCGCCCAAGATCACGCCGCCCATTACTCCGTCTGCCTCGGCAAATGGCGGACGAGCGGGCGGCAGTCCGCATGCTATGAGGCATCACATTGCCGCCGCAGTGGCGGCAGCTGCTCAACAATCAGCGCTCATAGACAAGGCTGCCACGCCGGTTACCCATGAACCGGCCACCTTGGACCTCACCGGATCCAACTCGAACTCAAGTAACCAGGCTCCGTCGAACGCCAGCAGTGGCCAGCCAGCGAATCACGAACTGAACGGCGCTGAGTCCAATGGGGCTTCCCAGGGGGATAGCAAGGAACAGGTGGCTGTCATCAAGGAGGATCCCCTGAAGAGCTCGCCGCCTCCAGTGGTGCTCGAAAAGAAGCCGGCCACGCCGAATGCAGTTCCGGAGAAGCCCATCCATCCGGACAGCTCGCCGGAGAACGCGTCCCGACGCAGTGCCAGTCCACCGTCGGAGACAAACAACTCGCTGCCAGTGGCCAACGCTGCGGTAGCATCAGGTAAATGCAAAGAGGAGCCCCCAAAGATTCTAGACTCGGACACGACCGCCACACTGCCCAAGACAGATGTAGCTGGAGAGCCGGAGGAGAAGCAGCGCACTCGGCTATCGGTGTCGCCGTCACCAGCTCCGCCGAAGACCATGGGCGCCGCCTCACCCGACACGGTGTCCACCTCTGGCGGCGTTACGTCCACCACGAGTGGCACCACACCGCCGCCGGTGGTCAGCAGCAGCACTAGCAGCGCCACCAAGGGGGCGCCGGCGGTGACCAGCGATGAGGTATCCACAAGTGCCGCCACGACCACTGCCGAGCCCACCAGATGATCGATCCCCTGGCGGGAGTGGGTCTCCCAGTGGAGCGGAGTTTCGTTTAGGTTTAAGTTCGGAGAAGAAGAGTCGCCTCGGATCGAAACTAGTTAACATCTACCTTCAGTAACATTAACTAAGCGATAATTTAGTTGTTAGTCGAGCGTCTTTATTTATACAAGAATTTGTAATGTATTGCCAGCCAGCGCCGCTTAGATCCAATTCTAAATGTTTTAATCCCTAGTTACTATTATTATTTGCCCTATTTAATTGTGAAACGTATAATTTTAGAGATGGCCTGAATAAATCATTTTCTGTTTACCATTCGCCTTATTATTTTATTTTGCGTTGGTTTAGTTTGTGGCCCTCGGCAGGGAAGTACATATATCGATCGAAAAGGAAAGTTTGATATGAAAAACCGATAAAAATAATGTGCTTAATATCGTAGGCTCTGATATATTTAACTTTTAAATATCGAAACATATCGCTCTTCTCGTCAAAAAGTAGAGCTGGAAGTTATACACTTTCAGTGAATAGATATTTTCTAAAAAAAAATATACATGTAAATCGATTATAATCGATTAAAACCGAAAGATTTACAATTTTATGGTTTTTTTACATTTCAATTTATCAATTCTATCAATATTTGTTTTTAAATTGTTTCGATTATGTTTGATAATAATATCGGTTAATTGCAACTTTCAAAGATCGTTTTATATATCGACTTTCACGATAATTATCGATACAGTATAAATTTGTCGCTTTTTACTGTCTTCTGTAGTCTTGGGACCTTTGGATACTGATAACAATGATGCCTGCAAAGAGGTTATAACCCCCCCACTAAAGCAGATAAACTCCCTGTATCTTTCAGATGACAACAAGCCGCAGCTGGGCGTACTGGGTCGCAGCAACAGTGCGGAGGAGGCCACAGCATTATGACACCAACTCTTCACCAATTCGAACAACTAACTAATGAAAAACTACGGCGACATTGGGATGTACTTGCTGTCGGAACGGGCTCTCCACCAGCAGCGCAAGCGGATGCTCGACGAGTTCCTGAAGCTCTAGGAACACCCATAGGCCCCCATAGATTATGTAAATTCCATAACAGATAACAGATTACAGATCAGATATCAGATATTTGTTCGTTCTCGGTGTGTTACAATCTCTAACGTGTTTACCCAACCAACCAGTTGAATCCAATTCCAACGCAATTAGACATTTTGACTTTGAATTGGTGTAAGGAAATCGTATCTGCATAAAATGTAAAATATTGTGACATATTCCAAGTATAAAATAACAATTACTCTCCCGAAGGTAATACTAATTTAAGGATTTTAGGTATACACATCCTTGCATAGAACTCTGAGTGTAGTTTTCGTGTGGAAAAAAATGTTCATTGCCCGAGCAACTTAATGTTAGTTGTAAAGTTAGACTAAACTTCTGCTAAGAAATTTATATATATACAACAGAAACAGAAATTATACAAGACATACTGGGTAGCTATATTTTATTCTTAAATTGCTAATTGCTAATAATTGTGATTTGGAGAGTACGAAACAAACGAAACGAAAACAAAAACAAACTCGGAAGATGTATGAACATGTAACTCGAATACAAAGTGGGGAAAACGGAACTGAAATTTAGATAACAAATCAAATCAAAACCTAGAGAGATATTCTGGAATGGATTAGAAAGACCGCGAATTATTTTTCGAAATTAAACCATTTTTGTACGCCACCCTTTGGCCCTTAATCGCATTTTGGTTCGTTTTTTGTGATTTAAAAGATTTTAAATTCAGACAAGACACAAACAGACAGACATGCTAGCAAATGCAGATGTAACCACACACTATAATTGATGTTTATAGTAAGTAGTCAATACAATACCTTAAAAACCAAGCAAGCTCTCAAACATATAGATCTAGTTTTCCCTCCCGTTTCCAGTCTTTGCCCCTCTATCTTGTATTTTCGTTTGAGATTGCCTAAAATCCACGACGATGTGTGAAGTAAAACGGTTTAAATATATATTTTAATGCATAAATCTCGAGCAATCTGTGATATTATAATGAGAAAATTAAAAATTAAACCAAAAACTCGAAAAAGAAAAGCAACATTGCGTATGAGCCTCAAGCTAAAGCCATTTGAGACCCGATACTATGGACTCTTTTCGTTATCGAAGCAGACGAAATGTTTTCATTACAATTCCGTACAAATTCCGCCATATGCAAGTCAGACATTTCCTTTGGACAAAACTATGTGTAACGTACCAGTTAAACTGAAAACGAATATATATTTTAATAACTAATCGTAATAGTTTCTCGAATGACACACAGATTGGCGCGCATCTAGTAACGTAACCACAAATGCCATGCGATAGCTAATCAACTACTGCAACTACAACATAGTTTCAAATACAACCTAAACAAAAGTAAAGCAAGTAAAAGAAAAGAATCGAGCGTAAATTAAATGTACTGTAACTAACTCCCCCTCAATCTTCGTTGTGTGTGTAAACAGAATACAAAGTGTAAAACATTAAACTGTAAGCTAACCGAAACGCAATCGAAGCAAAAAACTTGACCACAACAGCAGCAGGAACAGCAATAGCAATTAGATGTAGAAAGGAGCGTCCGCGCCCAGGTCTGACGATTAAAATAGATCTGATATATCTATAAGAAAAGGACTCACCAGCAGAGAACAGATCCGGTGCTCACAATTCACTTCTAGGCAGGCGGGCGCTCCTCTCTCAGATCTCTACATGACCACGGATGGTAGTCGGGTTTATATCAACTCACTGGAGTCCCCACACAATCGCGCAGCAAAGTAAATATGTATGTATGAGCGTTCAACCAAGTGGCAAACGATATGCGGAAACAAACAATTAAACGATATTGTGCAACTTTACATAAGGCATTTATGATTTTATGAAATAAACTGTACTTAAGGATATATCTGGAATTATTTATTGCGGAAAATGGGCTAGAGGAAGGGGAAAACGCAGCGAAGGAGTCATTTCCGAGCCTATAAATCATATATATTATTGATCAGCATAAACAGCAGAATCGATAAAGCCATGTCCGGCAAAAAAAAATATTTTACCCAAAATTTCAAAATTTTATAAGGGGTTACATCGTTAAAATTGTCAAAAATTTTAAGTTTTTTAAGTGTTAAATTTAGAAAGCAGATTTATTAACATTTAAAAACTATACAAAGAAAAGCTTTTCGAACCAAGATTAATGATTTTTTGGTTGAGCTATGATAGAGTTGAATTTGCAAAAGTGTTGAAATAAAAGCACGCCAAAAGTTTTTAAATACAGTTTTACTTTATCACTTTTAAGTAAAATTATTTAAAAAACCTAATGTATAGGAAATTTTGAGGCAAGATTCGGGTGCAGCTCATCAAAAATCTTTGGAAAGGTATATTCCGGTTGTTGGTCCCCAAAAAACATGTCGACCTGTGTTAAAGGTCTGGGAGTTGCCTTAATTCACACAACTCCATAAAAAAGTTTAAAAAAGAGTTGTGATTCCTCCTCCGGGGAAGTTACATTAAAGCATTATTAGCATACATTAGCTGTTATTTCACAATAACAAAATTAATAACAACAAGAAAGGAAGCTAACTTCGGCACGCCGAAGTTTGTATACCCTTGCAGATTGGTTTCGATGTTTATATTATAGATTTAAATGCTGAAAACACTCACAAAACAGAGTTTCATTAAATTTTACCTATACTTATTATGTTTACAGTTTGACAGTTTCAGTTTTACATTCCCAGCTTTATATATTTTATACATTTACCGATCGCTTCTATGGCAGCTATAAGATATAGTTGTCCGATTTTTATAAAATTTATACCAAAATTCTAGAATAATAAAAAATGCTTATATCTGAGAGTAGATAAACATACGTTGAAAAACAACGCTGTTCTGCATTGGGATTTCTGCGCTTAACAAAACTGCTTACTCAGTTTTTCTTAAAAACTTATCTATAATTTAATTTAATGTTACATAGCTTTATTTCTTATATTTACAGCACTCCAATAGCGAAAACGAGAGCATGCGGAGGGATCTGGGAAGCACAAGTTCATCAAGTTCATTGTAATTGTTGATTGATGATCACCTGATCTGCAGAGGTGAAGCTGGAGGAGGGAGCAGCTGGGATGACAGATCTCAACCCGATGGCAGTGGAGGCCGGTGATCGGATCTTGGCTCCGGGCTAGTTAAAACCCTGCAGCAGGCGTAAATAATTAAAATATTTATAAATGCAATTTAAATATGTAAATGTAATTGATGGAACACACAAATATGAATCAATAAAAGATGGTGAAATCAATGTGCAATTTTTTTGTGAAGGCGGCATTTATTTGGGATCGTTTGGGGTAAAATCTAATTATTTTGAAAGCAAAATCTAAATTTTTAAATTTGTTTTCTGAATTTTAAACATTTTTTTCGGATGTTTTACAATTCTTCTAAATTTTTAAAAATTGTCCTAATTTTTTAAAATTTTTCTGAATTTTTAAATTTTTTTTCTGAATTTTTAAAATTTTTTAGATTTTCTATGTTTATTTCAGATTTTTTTTTAGAATTAAACAAATTTTTTTAAAGTATTTTAACTGCCAAATTTGAATTTGAATTTAACTGCCAAATTTGAATGTGAATTTAACGACGATCAGTTTCAGTGTGCCCAGGTGCAGTTGGAAAATAACACCTAAATTTGGATTCAAAAGGTTTGAGTCTCCGCTAACTTGCGCCGGCTCCTAAATGGTTTGGAACTTGGACATTTTATAACAGTTTATACCAGTTTTTAGCTGCTTGCTGCTGGTTTCTGTTCGCCTGTTACCCCAATTTGGGAAACGGGCAATTTGCTTGGAAATGTTCGGAAATTTGGATGGACTGCTGTAGGGATTTTGTTGTAAAAAGGTTGTTGTTGCCATAATCTGTTGTTTTCGGCAACAAATAGGTATAAATGCATAAAATGAAATATAACAGTTTATACCAAATATTATTTTTGCCCAAATGTTTTTATAACAGTTTATACCAGTTTTCAGTTGCTTGCTGCTGGTTTCTGTTCGCCTGTTACCCCAGTTTGGAAAGCGGCCAAATCGAATGAAAAAATTTGCTCACTTGCATCAGTGATGCTCATCTCCATCAGTAATGCTCATCTAGCTATATTGCAATATTGGGAGGCTATAAAATCGGGCTTAATGGCAGTGATGCTCATCTGGCTATATTGCAATATTGGGAGGCTATAAAATCAGACTTTGCATCAGTGATGCTCATGTAGCTATTTTGCAATATTGGGAGGCAATGTATCAAGCTTAATGGCAGTGATGCTCATCTAGCTATATTTCTTTATTGGGACAAAATAGATAGATGAGCATCACTGATCAGTTTCAGTGTGCCCAGGTGCATTTAAGCAACATTTTAGCCAAAAAATTTACAATATGGTCACATCTGGTTTGAGTCTTCGCTTACTCCAAGATCAATGGTTCAAAACTTGGACTTTTTATAACAGTTTATACCAGTTTTCAGCTGCTTGCTGCTGGTTTCTGTTCGCCTGTTACCCCAATTTGAGAAACAGGCAAATTGCATGGAAATGTTTAAAAATTTGGATGGGCTGCTGAAGGGATGTTGTTGTAAAAAGGTTGTTGTTGCCATAAGCTGTTGTTGTCGGCAACAAATAGGTATAAATGCATAAAATGAAATATAACAGTTTATACCAAATATTATTTTTGCCCAAATGTTTTTATAACAGTTTATACCAGTTTTCAGTTGCTTGCTGCTGGTTTCTGTTCGCCTGTTACCCCAGTTTGGGAAACGGCCAATTTGAATGAAAATTTGTGCTCACTTGCATCAGTGATGCTCATCTGCATCAAGAATATATATACTTTATAGGCTCGAAAACGTCTCCTTCACTGCGTTGCAAACTTCTGACTGAAATTATAATACCCTGCAAGGGTATAAAAATAGTCGTTTATTGATAGAAACTACGCCTTTGCCACTTCCGCTTTCTTAACATATTTCATAAGCCTAACAATAGTCGAGGGAGTCACTCCCTGAATCCTACTGGCCGCTGCGATGGTCTGTGGCTGAATAAGAGTCAGCTTTTGTCGCTCCTCGTTGGACAAGCTCAGCGACTTGGAGAAGTAGTCGATGTCAGAGGGTATCGAAAGACGTTCCTCTCGGCGCACATCCTCCACATCCCGCTGCTGTTCATCGACAAAAAACGAATACAGAGCCTCGATCTTCACCCTTTCAGCCAGATTTCTGTCACCGCTCAACCAACTAAGTTCGCTGGGGTGAAGCTGGATGAGCTGATCCATTGTGATGTTGTCTGCCGGTATGCCCAGCATATCGAAGGCAGTTTTCTCCACTGAAGCCTTGGCCTTGGGGAGGTCAAGGGCCTGTCGCCAGTAGTGGGTGTGCTTCCTCAGCTGTCTCAAGGTTTCAATGGCGGATTGTAATTTCTCTTCGGTTTGCTGGAAATGTTGGTAACGATGTGGCGATACCAGACCGAATTCATAGCCCTTTTGGGTGAGACGCATGTCAGCATTGTCCGGCCGGAGGGACAGGCGGAACTCTGCTCGGCTGGTAAACATGCGGTAGGGTTCGTTGGTGCCCAGCGATGTTAGGTCATCAATGAGTACACCTATGTAACCTTCAGTCCGACTTATGGTCAACTGCCTGCCGTCGGCATGGAGTGTTTTTCCCGCTGCATTGGCCCCAGCTATGATGCCCTGGGCCGCCGCTTCCTCGTAGCCTGTGGTTCCATTTATTTGACCCGCAAAGAACAAGCCCGGTACTCGTTTGGTTTCCAGCGTGGGATACAGCTCGCGGGGATCTATGAAATCATACTCCACACCGTAGCCTGGCTGCACAACCTCCGCCTGCTCCAGTCCCTGAATGGCATGGACCAGCTCCACTTGCTGCTCGAAGGGCAGCGTGCAGGAGATTCCTTGGGGATACACCAGCGGGCTGTCCAGTCCCTCTGGCTCCAGCCAGACTTGATGAACCTTGGCACCGAATCGCAGGATTTTAGACTCAATCGAAGGACAGTAGCGGGGACCGGTTATCTCCTCGGTGACGTGGCGGTTCACGTGGAGATTGTTGCGCACAATATCGCTGACCTTCGGGGTGGTGTAGGCGAGATAACAGGGCAGCTGATCCTTGGCAGGTATCCACACATCGCTGTTGAGGAAGGAAAATGGTATAGGGGGATCGTCACCTTCGTGCCTCTGGAGTTTCGAGAAATCCACACTGCTCCTAGCTATTCTCGGAGGGGTCCCTGTTTTCAGGCGACCCATGCGGAAGCCCAGCCTATCAATGGCCTCACCGAGGGCTTTGGCAGGAGCATCTCCAATCCTCCCCGCCGGGCGCACCTCCAGTCCAATGTTTATGTGTGCCCGCAGGAACGTGCCCGTGGTGAGCACCACCGAACGACTATGCACCACCTCACCGTTGGCCAGGAGAACTCCAGCGCAGCGCCTGCTTTGAGTTTCCTGCTCATCCTCGATCAGGATATTGTCCACCGCTGCCGCACGGATCTCCAGGTTGGGCGTGCTATTCAGCTCCCGCTGGACAGCCTTCTTGTACAGCTGCCGATCGATCTGGGCCCTGGGTCCCCAAACTGCCGGTCCCCGCCGTCTGTTGAGCACCTTGTAGTGAACTCCGGACACATCGCAGCAGCGGGCGCACACCCCGTCCAGTGCATCCACCTCCCGCATCAGGTGGCCCTTGCCAATTCCGCCAAAGGAGGGATTGCACGACATTTCGCCGATCGTCTCCAGCTTGTGGGTGAGCAGCAGGGTGCGGGATCCCATGCGAGCGGCGGCTGCCGAAGCCTCCGTGCCGGCATGTCCGCCTCCGATTACCACCACGTCGTAGACATCCGCAGAGGCGCTGTGCGTACTTCTGCTCCTAATCCTCTTGGCCAGACCATGGACAAGGCCGTGGCGGAGCAGCTGCATTTGCATTTCTGAAGGTTTGCACAACACATGTGCGACTATCGCTCATCGATAGCTACCCCTTATCGTTATTTGAGGTATTATCGATTGAAGAGGTGTTGGCGGGAATATAAGTTGCTTTTGAAAACCGTTTTACACTAGAATGCAGATTTGTTAACCCAGGAGAAGCATAGAACAACTTTCCGACTTAAATTTAATGCATTTTTGGCTAAGTTATGCGATTTAGAAACTTAGATTTGTCCAAAAAATTATGATACAAAATTATGGATAAATATCTCATTTAAGAATTCATATATTTCCGGTCATCTTGAAGGTTATTATTTTAGTCAGTGGCTTAGTAATGATCGATTTTTGATTCTATACCATGATCCTATGCCAAACAGCAATTAATAAAAAACAAGAAAGAAAACTAACTTTAGCCAGCCAAAGTTTGTATACCCTTGCAGGTAACAATTAAAATATATCATAACTAAGCCAAAAATGCATTAATTTCGATTCGGAAAGCAGTTTTGTGTTAGTTTTTATTAATTTAAAAAAACTGCATACCAAATTAAAAATTTTAAGAAATCCAAATTTTTGGCCATTTTTGCTCATTTTAATGATGTAACCTTATCAAATTTTGCAAAAATGACAAAAAAATCGTTTTCTTCCTGACATATCTAGAAAGATTCCCCTGTTGATGCTGATAAAGAATATATATACTTTATAGGGTCGGAAACGTCTCCTTCACTGCGTTGCAAACTTCTGACTGAAATTATAATACCCTGCTAGGGTAAACACTTTGTTTTATTTAGTAATATTTCCATTTATTGCATAGATAAAATACAATTTGCATCTTTTTACTTATATAAAAAACAACCGACTAACTAACATTAAAATCCATCCATTTCTGCTTTTCGCTTGCGCTTTTTAAGCTTCTGTTTAAGGTCTGGCGCCTTGCCACGAACGACAGCGGCCTTCAGGCGCTTCGCTGCCTTCTTGCGCTCCTGAACTCCAGCCTTGCGCTTGGCCGCTCGCTGCGGGTCATGGATCTTCTCCTGAGCCACCACCTTGCGGCGCTCGGCACGGCGAGCCATCAGCTTGGTCTGCACCAGGTTCCTTAGCTTGTCGTAGACATCGGCCCCAATGCGCTTTCTCAGCCGGCTGCCCACGCGGAGGGCTTGCTGGCGCAGTTCAGCATCCACGTTCTGGTCCTCCTCGGACATTTCGCGCACCAGGGTCTGGAGAAGAGCGGGCGCCAGTCGGGTGACGGCCTCCACACTGAGCAGCGTGGCAAGGGCTTCTATAAGCGTGAACATGGCAGTGCGCTGGAGTTGTAAATTAATTTAAAGAGTTAATAAATTAATTATGAGTTTATAAATATTCTACTCACTATGCTGGTGTCGTGCGAGGCCTTGGCCACCTCCTTGTTGACCAGGAAACGGATATTCCGGAGCAGCCAGTTGAGATTTATTTTGTTGACGGGACCCTCCACCTGCTCCGCATCATGCTCCTGCTTCAGACTAAAGGGAACATCGCGCAGCATGTGGCCAATGTACAGCATAATCTTGGATAATTCATCGATCATTTCCTGCGCCGTTTCACCGGGCGTGACCTGGGCGCACAGATCCAGCACCAGGGACTTGATATCCTGGGCAGGCTGCGCGTAAATAAAGTCTAGCGCCTTGTTAGTGTCCGCTTCTTGCTTGATCCCCGCCAGCTGTTGTCCAACGTAGGCGTAGTCGTAGTGAGAAAGGATGTGGGTCAAGAGTTTGGCTGCATTGCAGCGAACCCAGTTGTGGTCGTGGCCTAAGAGTCGCTGCGAGCCATATGCCAGTTCATCCAGAGTGTCTGAGAGATCCTCCTGGCTCATCAGCGAGTCGCCGCAATGCTCAAAGATTTTGATGAGACAATACTGTAGCTGGATGAGCTGATGGTCCACCTTGCGCTGCTGCTGCTCCACTCTGGCCTCGGTGTCGTGGCCCGCCAGCAGGAGGTCTTCATTGGGCAGGCTTCCGAATTTCTGGGGAAGATTATTAGACATTAGAAAAGATAAAAAACAATGAGAGGCAGTATCCTGCTTACCTTTCGTTTCGTCTTCTTGTGTAGACTAGATTCATCCACCTCTGCCTCCTGGAAGCCCGGAGCTCGCACAAATCTTCCCACTGCCTTAGCATAACCCGAAGTCAAGACACTCACTAAAGTGGGCAGCACCAGTGGTAATCTTTCCGCGAAGCCCGCCTTCTCCGCCTGAACAAATCGGGAAAGAAGGGCGGCAGCCATCTCCCTGACTCCCGGATTGTGGTTCGACTTTGGTGCCGTGAAGAAGAGCATCGTAAGGTCCAGCAAAGGCTGACGTTCCACTTTCGTAAGGCGAGCAATCAGGGCCTCCAAGGCGGCAGCCACACTGCGACGACACGAGGGATCCTCATCGTTGACCAGACGGGTGCCCAGAGACAGGTATAAGAACTCAGACTGCTTCGCCAGCATCAGCTGGGGGAACTTGTTGATGATCGAGTGCATGAACTGAATGGCCGACAGGCGGCCGGCGATCTGGCTGTAGCACAACTGAACCGACATGAACTTGACCATCTGATCCACCTGCTGGCGCAGCGTGTACTCCATGATGTAGGTGAGCAGGATGCCGCGCGACTCGTCCCTTACGTAATCCGAGGGCGAAATTATGGACAGGTCTCCCAGGCGCTTCATTAGGTCGTGCAGGGATCGGGTGTCCACCTTGCGACTCACCAGCGCCTTGAGGAGAGTGAAGACCATGGTCTGGCTGCTGCACTCGCCCTCCTGCAGCTCCTGCTCGACGTGAAGGAGCAGCTGCTCGATCTGCTCGTCGCTGAGCTTAAAGTCTTGGCACTTGCGCAGCAGGGCAACCACTGCCTTGAAGCTGGCCCTCACCAGCTGGGCGTTCTCCTCCTGCCTGGTGGCCCCGAAAGTCGAGAAGTTCTTGAGGATCTCGAACATGCGCTGCACCACCGGCTGCAGGGCCTCCGCGTTGAGTTCGGTGAGCTCGTACTCACCCAGCCAAATGGCCGTGTAGCATTTTAGGGCATATGTGGTGGTCCTGGCGTGGTTGCTGCTCAGAGAATCCCTCAGCAAGGGCAACAGGGGATGCAAAAAGGGCTGGTAGTCCAGATCCGTTAACTTCTTTCGCTTCAACACGAAGTGGAGGAGCTCCAGGCCGAACTCGATCAGGATGTGAGCATTGGCCTGGGCATTGGACTTGACCTGCTTGTTGCCCGTGACCACACTGCGTCTGCCCGGCGCCGGCTGGAGGATCAAGCAGTCGGGGCGTGACCTCTTCATCAGCGCCTGCTCCTTGTCCGTGAGCTGTCGCTTCTGGGTGCCCGGCAGGAGATCACTGATGCTCTCCGACATTGTGCCATAGATGAAGATCAGCAGGCTCTCCCGCGCAATGTGCGTGTTCTCCACCAGGCCCCCCACAATCTTGGCAAAGCACTCCTGGATCTTTTGTGTGACCTTCCGGGAGTGCGACCTGGCCAAGTGCTCTTTAAACGGCAGTAGGAGATCCAACAGGCAGTTGTCACGGATATGCCGCGAGGCTATGTTCAGGGTCAGGTAGCTCTTGGCACTCGGCTTGGCCTCCGGCGTGTGGGCCACGATCTTCTCCACCTCCTTCTCGGCGCTCACATCGCCAAAGATGTCGTTGAGGGCCACCTCCAGCAGGTTCTGCAGGCACTTCTCAATATGATCCGGTTGCAAATCCACCTTCAGGGCGTCCAAAACCCCATGAAGTGTCACCGAGAGTACGTGCACCTGGAAGCCACGGGTGAGTAGCGACTGTAGCTGCTCCAGCAACAGGCCCAGGTAGCTGCCGCCCAGCGTGAGCATGATCTTCTTCAGGATGTCACGGGTGAGCATGCGAACGGACTTCAGGGGGGAACGCAGGAAAGTGCAGACCTTCATGAAGATTCCTTGATAAAAAAATAAATAAAAATTAAAGCTGGAATTTAGAGAATTGCGAGATTCTTCCCACCTGGTAGACTGTTGTCTAGCAGTTCCAAAGGCAGCTTCTGCAGCAGCTTCACCATGGCCAGGGCTATGGGCACCTTCTGGATCTCCTCCTCCTCACGCTCGTAACTCAGCCTCCGGCGATTCACCTTGTGCTTGGAGTCGTAGTTGGTCTTCTCGGTGATGGCCCGATTGAGAGTGGGCAGCAGGACAGTGGTTATCGTGGCCATGACCCGCTTGGCGGCGTTGGGAGCCAGCAGTTGCGTGCGCTGACGCTCAGCCACTGGCTCGGCCGCCTCCTCCTCTTCAAAGTCAATGAAGTCGGACTGATCTTCGGTTTTCAGGGGCTTCTCTTCGGGATCCTCTTCAGTCTTGGCTTCTTCAGGCTCTTCTGCCTCCTCCTTTTCCTCTGCCAGCTTCTGCTTGAGCTGGGCGAGAGCAGCCAGGTCCGTTTGTGCCTGCGTCAGGTCAAAGTGGAAGGCGTCTAGAATGCGAACCACCAGACGGACGCACTGCTTCTGCTGACCCTGGGCATGCCTCAGCTTCTGGAGGTAGTAGCGGAGGGCGGCATGGTACTGGGCCCAGGGCAGGAGCTCACTCATCACGCCCACCGCCTCGATGGCGGCATCCACCAGTGTGTGCTTGCCGGCGTGCTTTTCGCTCAGCAAATACCGGGTGGCCAGTGGGAGTAGGAACTGCGTTAGGGTGCGGGCGCAGGGCGGGGCCTGTCGCCAGATGCCGCCGGAGATATTTACCAGACGCTGCAGCGCACGACCATGTCGCTGAGTCTGCAGGTGAAGCATATTCTCAAAGAAATCCACCTCCAGGTCGTGCTTATCCGCCAAAGGGGACAGATCCTTGAGGACGTCGTGCGCCGATGGACACTGGCGCGCCAGCTCGCCCAGCAAGCCGATGGCCTCACTCCTGGCATGCTCGTGCTTCTCGTCCTTCATAGAGCGTTGCAAAAGAGGCAGCAGTGTGTCCTCCAGCCAAAAGTGAGAGTCCTCCTTAACCTCCAGCTTCAGGGTGATCAGAGGGAGCAGCGGCTTCAGCAGCTCTCCTATGTTTACCCTCATGCCCAGGTCTGAGTCGTGGCGCAGCATGTGGAAGCAGTTGTAAAGCACCAGTACCGCCAGTTCCAGGTCCAACTTCAAGTCCTTCTTTTCCACCAGCTGCTTGAGCTCCGACAGGGCTTCGAGACGCTTGTCGTAGTCGGGCTGCTCCAGCCACCTCTTGTCCCAGGCATTCAGGAGCAGCACAATCCGAGCCCACTCCCTTATAGCTGCGGCTGCAGCGGAGAGTTCCGGCTTCTGCTTGGCCTCCTTGTTTAGTCGCTTCGCCATGTCCGCCAGGAGTTCGCACAGCAGCTTCCTGGCTGGCAAAACATTCACCTGTTCAAAGAGTGGCGCCAAGGGGCGAACATAGTCCTGAGGCCTGGCCACTCTCTTCAACAGGTTCGACAGAGTGGTGACCAGCTGCACCACGGTTTCCGGGCCAGCTGAGGCTGCTTGCTTGGTGAAGATGGGCAGGAGTACGCTGAGCAGCAGCTCACAGGTGGCCGGCTCCTCCACATGCGAGGTGATCAGGGTTAGGATGTTCAGCTCCCGCTTGTCTAGCGCCTGCCTGCCGGCCTTCTTGTGGCGCCAACTGTTTTGCAGCTGCTGCAGGATGGCCGGGATGTAGGGATGAACAATGGCCAGGGCCGCGGCTCCAAACTCCTCTGAGACAGCTGCCTCCAAGAGCTGCTCTACCAAGGTCATAAGCGATTTTTTCACCACAGGCTTGGCTTTGTCGTTCAGCAGCAGGGCCATCAGGTGATGCATTATGGGCTCCTTGTCCGAGGGGGGACTTTGGTTAAGCCACTTCTGGTAGCGTGGTTCGCCTCCCCACAGTAGGAGCAGTTTCAGCAGGGGCGTGGGCGTGTGTATAGAGTCCTGGGAGAGGCGTGCCAGCGCTGGCCAAACGTAGACCTCGCAAACCGCATTCATCTCCGGCTCCTGCCACAGCTCCTCCATGTCCACCAGCTGGCTGAAGTAGTTCACCAAGGTCTGCAGGCCCGAGTGCTTGACATTCTTGTAGGCAGCCACCAGTTTTCCTTCTCCCTTGATGACCTCCTGGGCCACGCTTCCCACAAGCAGCAGCAGTTTCAGAACGTAGACCTGGAAGGCTGCAGTCAGCTTGCCTGCAAACTCCTTTCTAATCAACTCTAGAAGATTGACAATCCTTTGCAGCTGCCTGGCAGCAATCACTGCCGAGGGATCGTACGACTCCCTGGCGTACTTGACCAGCTCACCGACAGGCTTGTCTGTGTACTGCGAAAACTTTCCAAAGGCCATTTGCAGAAAATCAATGATTTCGGACTCCTCCAGTTGACCCAAAAATCGCAGAATCAGTGTCTTGCGCAGCTGGGCACTCAGTTGCTTCTGGACGCCCTTGGTCAGCATTTTGCCGTAGAGCACGCGCAGCATGAAGGGCATCATTTCCGATCTCTGCTGAGCCGGAATACTGGCTAAATCGAATCCGGTGAGCGTCGTCTTGAACTTGGCTTCGTCAATGAGTCCGGCTAGGTGTTCTTTCTGCTGGACCAGAGCCACCGGCTGCTTGTAGGCCGCCAAACAGTCCAGAGCCAGTTGTTGGAGCTGCGCATTCGGGCCGGCTAGTAGCTCCAGGTAGAATTCGTGCATCTCCGCCTGCCGATGCAAAGCCTTGGGATTGGGTTGGGACACAAAGCAGGCCAGCTTCAGCTGGAGGGTCTGCAGTATGAACTTGGCATGGGAATTGTGGGTTCTCCTTTTCTTTCTCATTCGGGATTCGTTCTTGGATTCATCCTCTTCGTCTTCATCCACCTCTTCAGCTAGTTGCTGCAGCTGCTCACCTGTGGCGTCGTTTACGTTCCAGGTGTGCTCAGATTTCTCCAGCTGGGCTCGATACTCCTGCTCCACAAACTGAAGAAACAGACGCACCAAGTCGGCATTCTTTACCTCGGCCAGGGAGCCCAATTTGGGTAGACTTTGCCAGAGGAGCTGACGGTAGTTGAGAGCTTGCTGGAGGCTGAACTGTTGCTCCTCTGCCAAGGTTAGTAGCATGGTTAAAGCGGCGGAATTGTAGCTTCTACGTTGGGGTTGCTGAAGAATGGTCACCTCCTTTTTGTAGTCTATGCAGGCCACAGTCTCTACTAGCTTTGACTTGAAAAGGCTCCAGAACTCCTCTGTGGTCATTGTCTTTACATAGGAAGCCAGGAGCTGCTGGACGGGTGCCCACACAAACTTAAAGTTGTTGTAGAGCAGACCGAGCAGAAGGCTCACCGCGTGCTCCTTGAAGTGCGGATGCAGCGAGAACTGCTTGAACTGGGCTGCCGAGGGCTCCAGCTGCTGCAGCTGGAGGAGCAGCTCGCGGTAGTTGTGGACCGTGGGCTCGATGGAGGTGGCGGCGTAGAAGTAGGAGTAGGGATTTGGTTTCCGCGAACTGCTCACCACATCCAGGCACTGGGCAGCAAGGCGTCGGTACTGCGACTGAGGTTGGCTCAGAAGGATGGACACGGCCGAGAGCACGTCTTCCGATGGGGAAAGCTCGCTTTTGGGGGTCTCCAGGAGGATCAGTTGCAGGCAGGCCAAGGCCCTGATGTCCTTGCCCAGCTGGGGGATGAGGTATTCTTTAATTCTGGAACGCAAATCTTTGGCAAGCTTGAACTTGAGCAGAGCATGCGTTTGAAGCAGCAAGAGTAGCAGCGTGAAATCCTTTTCTCCTTCCTTTAAAAGCTGCTCAATGACAGATTGCAGGCCCTGGTCCAAGGACTGCTTGCTGAAGCCCCTTAGGTGGGGAGCCAGCACCAGCAGCAGCAGGTGATCCTCCTCATTCACGTCCAACTTCGTCAGCTGCTGTTCAATACTCTTGATGGTCTCCTTCTGCTTTAGAGGCAGCGGATAAACCTCCCACTGGGCCAGGGAGTTGGCATCCACCTGCAGCGGCCTCTTGTGCTGGACAACGCGAGCCAATAGCTCCAAGGCCCGCGATTCCCTCTGCTCCTCGTAGTAGCCAATGACTTGCGGCAGCACCAGAATCTCAAACTGTTGGTAGTCCAGCAGCTGCAGAATGGAGTCCTCGTAAACGGACACATTCGCACGGCTTACGCTTAGGAGCTTCTGCAGCAGTCGACTGGCGTCCAGCTGCGTGAGCTGCGCATGTTGGGCTTTCAGCAGATTTGTGACCAAGGTGGTCAGGGGATGGAGCGGTTCTACTTCCCGGTCCAGCAACTTCAGCAGCGTGGCCACCACCAGTGGCAGTTCCGAAACGTAGCGTCCATCCTTGTGGGTGACGAGGGGCAGCATCAGATCGATGAGGCGCGACACATCCACACTCTCGCCGCTGCCGGCAGCTGAGCAGAGGCCTTGCCAGAGTACAGGACTCTGGTCCGAGCGCAAAAAGTTCAGCAGCAGGCCCATGGAATGCTCCACAATGTCGCCCAACAGATCGGTCTGGGCTTTGGTGTGAAGCGAGGCGCTGTTGACGAGGACCTCCAGGACGTGGGCCAAGATCTCGGCTGCCGAGTTGTGCAGCTGACCGTTGACGCCGCGCAGGATCTCGTAGATCAGTCTCCCGCAGCCATGGACACTCTCCACCTGCTCCCGCAGCACTGTCTGAAGAACGTATGCCAGGAAGCGGGGGAAATCACGGACATCGCGGGCTATATAGGCAAAGCATTCCACGGCAAAGTTTGTCACGTGTTCGGCATAGTGCTGCTCGTCCAGGAGCGGAAGAATGGCATTGAAGACCACACCAATGTTGCGCTTCAGATACGGCTTGAGGGTCTTGAACAAGTGGGCCAGGCATATGAGCGTCCACTCCAGCTGCTCGGCATCCTGGATGTTCAGCAGGCAGATCAGGCGGTCCAGCACGCGCTGGAAGTACGGGTAGAACTCCTCGCGCAGATCGCGGGCAAGCACGTAGAGCAGCTCCAGCAGCGGCTGCTGCGAAAGATTTGTGGCCGTGGCCAGGCGCTCCAGCAGCAGGTCCACCACAAACTCCTTCTGGTGCAGCAGCTGCGGCAGGGTGACAATCTTTCGGCATCGCTTGCTGAAGTAGTTGTACTCCTCGGTCAGGTTGAGCACGTTCCATTTCTGGATAGTCTGCTGGAAGTAGGTGGCGTTCTCCTCCTCGTCGAGCTCCTCGTTGCGGTGGCCAATGTGGTAGAGGGCCAAGTGCCGCAGGTCGATCTCATTCACACGGTCTCCGAACGATTTGAACTGCGGAAAGACAGATATAGCGTGAGGCGGGGTGCTCCCGGCAACGTGAGACTTCTGGGGCCACTCACCCGAAATGTGTTTGTGTTTTTCGTCTTTTCCGCTAAAGACGCCATGTCGCTGTTTGTTTAACACTCTTTTTGATCACTTCATTTGCGCTTTACTGGTTTAATTTGTGGAAAAAACTTTTGTTTACGCGAGCTCGTTTTTTTCGTTCAAATGCAACACGTGCTAGAGATGTATATCGATATCGATTTATTTTTAAAACAGCTGAGCAGTGGGTCGGTAATCAGCTGATCCTATTTTGACAAAGCAGTGTAAGATTCCACTCAGAACTGCTTAATCCACCCATTGAAAAATATCGATAGTTTTGAATATCGTATACGAACTAGGCGGAAAATTTAAATTTATTTAAGATAACTAACTAACAAAATGATAAAAGAGGAACATAAACAAATACTTTTGATTATATAACTTGCAATATTCATATTTATATTTAATTATTTCTTGATTTTAATACAAAACATATAGACTTGACTTGGTATGGCACAAATATATAAAAAATACGACATTTCAGGCTGACTCCTGGGCCTGCAGGTAGTTGAAAACAGTGCCGCGCTCCACAAAACGTTTGCTGTTCTCCTGGTCAACACCTTCACCGGCTTTAGGGGAGTCTCCGCTGGGTCCGAAGCCTCCTCCGCCGGGGGTTTTCATGGCAAAGGTATCCTGAAAAAAACAAATTTAATACAAAAACTTTAAACTCAAGTGAATCAATAAACTTACCCCTGCTTCCACATCGATGCAGGTCTTGCCAGCCAAGGCAATCACTCTTCCATCTCGCTTGACCACCAGATTGCGTCCACTCTTGCCCGATTCTCCGCCTGCTAGTCCATAGGGCTGGAGGGTTCTACGCTCCGTTAGAACCGACAAAGTCACGGGTTTGCGGAAGAGCAGATCCCGCTCCACGCCCTCGCCTCCATTGAACTGTCCCCGTCCGCCAGAGCCATCGGTACGCAGGCAGAACCGCTTTAGGATCATGGGGTAGCGCAGCTCCAGGATCTCCGGATCAGTGATGCGGGTATTGGTCATGTGCGTGTGCACTCCGCCGGCTCCATGCCAGCCTGGACCTGCTCCAGCACCACCAGCCACGGTCTCGTAGTATCCCCAGGTCTCATCCCCTATCGTTATGTTGTTCATGCAGCCCTGAGAGGCGGCACAGACCCCGAATGCCTTCAGCACTGTGTCCACGATTCGCTGAGAAGTCTGGACATTGCCGCCGACAACAGCGGCTCCCTCGGACGGGTCCAGGATGGAGTTCTTTGGAATGATTACTTGAATGGGAGCCAGGCAGCCCTGGTTGAGAGGCACATCGTGGCCCACCATGCAGCGCAGGCAGTAGATCAGCGCGGACAGAGTGATTGCACGCGGGGCATTGCAGTTGCCCCAAACCTCTACGCCGGAACCGGTGAAGTCGCACAGCGCCGAGCCCAGCTCAGCATCGATGGTCACCTTGAGGGCAATGGGAGAGCCGTCGTCCATGAACTCCCTCGCCTCCAGCACCGTAGAACCTGTGCGCTCCAGCGTATCTCGACCGATCTGACGCAACATGTCCCGAACCGCCAGTTCGGCGTTCTTCTGGATGTGCGACATGTAGGCCTGTACCACATCCAAGCCATAACTGTCGATCAGCTCGGCCACCAGTTGGATGCCCTTGTGGTTGGCGGCAATCTGGGCCTTCAAGTCTGAGAGATTGTCGCTGAGGTTCCTGGTGCCCACGGCTCCCTTGGCTGCAGTCGGCGTGGTTAGCCGCTCGACTATCTGCTGCTCCTGGAAGAGCCCGTTCTCCACGATCAGGAAACTCTTGAAAGCGGCGCCCTCTTGGGCCAAGGATGTAGAGTGCGGCGGCATAGAGCCCGGCGTGATGCCTCCAATATCAGCATGATGACCTCGGGAGGCCACAAAGAATACGGGACGAGGGTGACTCCTGCATAATGAGAAATTTAATTTTTTGAAGGTTTAATCAGGACCGAAACTCACTCATAAAACACCGGCGTAATGACCGTCAAATCTGGCAGATGGGAGCCTCCAGCCGAAGGATGGTTTGCCAGGATAACATCTCCATTCTTCAAGGTCTCTCCCCGCACCCTTAGTTGGTACTGGACAGTCTCCTGCATGGCTCCCAGATGAACAGGAATGTGTGGAGCATTGCTAACCAGGCCACCATCCGGGCCAAAGAGAGCACAGGAGAAGTCCAGGCGCTCCTTGATATTGGTGGAAATTGAAGTGCGCTGGAGCACTCTGCCCATCTGCTCGGCAATGCTCATGAAGCGGTGGCTAAAGATGCTCAGATGCACTGGATCCAGTTCGGCATTGATGCCGTGCTTTCCTCCAGTCTTCACGTCCATGATGAGGTCTCCAAATGGAGTGACCAGGACACTGCATTCCGGTTCCACTACGATCGTAGAGAGCTGATCAATCAGCACGGCAGGACCGGTGATCTTGTGACCTGCCAGCAGGTTCTTGGTCAGGTAAATAGGAGCATCAAATCCGCCCTGGTCAAAGTGGACTCGGGTAGTGCCTTCGGCTGGTGGGGTTACCTCCGAAGCATCCTTAACCTTCGATTCCGGTGGGGTTTCGTTCTTGCCCAGCCCTCGAATACGTATGTCATCCACAATGATCCTTCTGTTCTGCAGGACGAATCCAAACTCTGTGCGATAGCGTTCCAGGAAAGTGGCATGGAAGTCACCATAAGCAGCCAAAAGGGGAGATGAGGCCGAGGACTGCTTTCCTGCTGCTGATGGGGCAACCATCAGGGCGCCATCGGTGCCCTCATAGCGCAAGTGGAGGAAGGGCTCCAGTTCAATTTTACGGAATCCCTGCTCCGCCAACTTGGCGTGGCATTGCTGTGACAAAGCATCCAAGCGCTCCTTCAGCTGCTGGGCATGCGCATCGCTAAACTCCAGGCCGCTGGGCTCTTGCAGCTCCTGGACAACGTCGGCCAGAGCCATGCCATAAGCAGATAGGATGCCAGCATATTTGTGGACCACAACCTTGAGGGAATACAAGAAAAGGAGATATTAAAACCTAAAGGAACCAAACATATTGTCTTACTTTACCTTGCCAATTCCCAGATTACGAGCAATGGCGCAGGCGTGCTGGCCACCAGCTCCTCCAAAGCAGGACAGCACATGGTTGGCTGTATCCAAACCCCTCGACTGCGTCAGGGCCCTAATGGGCCTACACATTGTCTCGTTGGCCACTCGAATAAAGCCCAGAGCCACTTGCTCGATGCTCAGCACTCTATCATCGCCAGAGGCCTTCAAATGACTGTTGATCTCCGCCTGCAGCTGCACAAACTTGCTCCTGGCAATCTCATGGTCCAGTGGCTCGTTCTCCTTTGGTCCAAAGATCTTGGGAAAATACTGAGGCAGAATGCGTCCCAGTATGAGATTGGCATCCGTGACGGTCAAAGGTCCTCCCTTCTTATAGCAAGCGGGTCCGGGATGCGATCCGGCTGATTCCGGACCGACCACGAATATTCCAGAGCGGAAAAATAGCCTAGATCCGCCGCCAGCAGCCACAGTGTTTATGTCCAACTGGGGGGCCTGGATAGTCACCCCAGCCGTGGTGCTCTCGATGACATGCTCATAGCTGCCGGCATAGCGAGACACGTCCGTGGAGGTGCCGCCCATATCGAATCCAATGAGTGGCAGCTCCGTTTCCCGGGCTCCGGTCAAAGCGTAGCCGACAACGCCGCCCGCAGGTCCCGAGAGTATGGCACGGGCTCCGCGGAAGTTCTCCATGTTGGTCAGGCCGCCATCCGATTGCATGAAGAGCACATCCACACCCTCCAGCTGCTTGTCAAAGCCAGATTTGAAGCTGAGGATGGGGAAAACGGATATTTAGTAAACTGTTTTGCAATTTTTTAGACACTACTGTAAAGTGAGAGCGTGCTTTTGTTGTTATACCCTCTCCAGGTCTAGGGGAATATGGGTATATGCTCTATAGAGATAAGACCCGAAGCCAAACAAGTCTTCAAAAATCTTCAAATAGATCCTGATTCTTATTCTGGTTTCTTTTATTATACCCTTGCAGGGTATTATAATTTCAGTCAGAAGTTTGCAACGCAGTGAAGGAGACCTTTCCGACCCTATAAAGTATATATATTCTTGATCAGCATCAACAGCCGAGTCGATCTAGCCATGTCCGTCTGTCCGTCTGTCCGTCTGTCCGTCTGTCCGTCCGTCCGTCTGTCCGTTTCTACGCAAACTAGTCCCTCAGTTTTAAAGCTATCTGAATGAAACTTTGCATATAGTCTTCTATATACTCTCACTGCTATATATGTCGGAACGGGCCGGATCGGACGACTATATCATATAGCTGCCATACAAATGTTCGATAATTTTTTAGAAAAAAATTTTAACTTGGCTGTTTTTCAATATTTTTTAGCCATTTTATATTATTCCAGAATTTTGGTAAAAATTTTATGAAAATCGGACGACTATATCTTATAGCTGCCATAGGAACGATCGGAAAATGAATAGGAAAAAAATTATAACTTCGTTGTTTTTCAACATATTCCTATCTACTTTTAGATATGAGCTTTTTTTATTATTTCAGAATTTTGGTAAAATTTTTATGAAAATCGGACAGCTATATCATACAGCTGCCATATAAACGATCGGTAAATGTAGAGAAAATGTTAAGCTGGGAATGTAAAACTGTAACTGTCAAACTGTAAACATAATAAGTATAGGTAAAATGTTATGAAACTCTGTTTAGGGTCTGTTTTCCGGCATTATAATTTATAATATAAATATGAAAACCAATCTGCAAGGGTATACAAACTTCGGCGTGACGAAGTTAGCTTCCTTTCTTGTTTTTAAGCTAAAATAAGTTAAGTCTGTATATTCAAAACTTGATTCTAAACCAGCAAATAATGATTAAATTGTACGCTTTAAAATCTCATTACAAGGTATCAGCTAGTCGAGACGGTTTACCCCAAGCATTCCCATTAGCTCTACTCGCTATGTTTACGTTACGTAACCCTTTGAGGGATCTCAGCTTTGAATGTTTGTTTTGTTTGGTTTTATTCAGCTGTTTAGTCTGATTTCGGGCTTATCTTTATAGTATCTCCCGCCATCACAAGAAAAGTCTGCTTAGACCCCGAAAAAGAGCTGGGTCACTCGGCTAATTTACAAACCAGAGATAAGATGCACTCACCTGGCCAAGTAGCGATCTACATGGGGAGTTAAGTAGGCCTCCGCGCAGGCTGTATAGCCGCGGGCCACCACCCTACACATGGGCATGGCCTCGTGGGAGAGCGTGACGTGGCTGAAGCCCAGCTCCCTGGCGATGGCTCCCACACGGAGCTCGTGCTCCGGACAGGCGTAGCTGTGGGCCAGCACCACGGCCACCGAGGAGACGCCTTGCTCTCGGGCTGAAGAGAGAGAGCTTCGCAGAGCCACCTCATCTACTGGACGCACCTCCAGATACTTGGTGCCGGCCACTCCCTCCAGCACTTTCCAGCTTTGATCTACGGCGAATCGGTTAGTATTCCATGAGGTTATCATAACGGCGGATGCACATACCCAGCTCACAGCGATCCGGCTGCTGGGGAACTATGCGGCAGTCCACCTCCACCACAGACTGATACAAATTAGCTGGCTTGCGGATATTGAGATCGAAGATCTTGGGCCTCGCCTGGTTGCCGATGTACAGGAGATCCCTGAAGCCAGTGTTTACCACCAGGACCACGGGGTCGCCCTTGCGCTCGAGCAGGGCATTAGTGGCCACCGTAGTGCCCATGCGAACCCATCCAATTTTGGAGGTATCAACCAAGCCACTCGGTGCCAGATCCTCGCCGGTTTCCTCTTTGAGAATGCGTCGAATGCCTTCGCGAGGGGCGTCGCTGTACCGCTCTGGATCCTCGGAGAGCAACTTCATGGTTCGCACCTTGCCGCCGGGACAGATGCAGAGAACGTCGGTGAAGGTGCCGCCGCGATCAATGGCGAAGCAGTATTTGTTTCCCGACATTGTGTCTTTGTTTTGCTTTTAGGTTCCGATCGAGAGAAGTTGAAAAAGTAGACTGAGCGGCAGCCAGTGCCAGAGGCGGTATATATACAGGTGGTTCTCGATCGGTTCTCCCAAAAGCTCGGCACATGGAGCTCTCGAAGCTTTCGAGATTGGGGAGCGAGAGTGAGCAAGGGTCGTGATCAACTTACTAGTACTGCTTTTTGGCTCCCACTGAGCTTTTTACACAGCAAAGTGTTTGGATTTCAGAATACCATAGATATGAACGATTTTTAATTTATTATAAAGGTAAACATAATGTTGTATCTTTAATGCTTGCGAACCTTGAAAAGATAAAAAATAAAAACATAAATAAAAAATTTATATAGAATTATTATTTAAAATAAACCAGCTTTGGACTTCGAAATGAAATGCTTCCAGAAGTAAACAAGCCAGTTTTTTGGATTTTCCAACAGTTGATCACTTCAGGAAACATAAACAGAGAGCCACGGAGCACATAGGGGCACGAGAGAGCGGCAAACGATGTGATGGTGTTGGTGAGTGGCCGCCATTCATGCACACTACCAGAGATCGGGCGGCTCTCCCGTACACGTATACAAAACGAGCCTCCAATTGGAGAGCAGAGAGACTGAATTAGTGAGTTTGTGTGGGTAAGTCTCTCGGGAATTTCGCACATTGCCGAAGATTGGCTCTCAGAGGAAGCAGTGAGTTTTACTAATCCCCTAAAGGCAGTCTACAAAAGACATTCTACTAAATTGGTACCAGACCCTAGTACTTTTTCACACAGTCGGTTATAAAATGAAATCTAAAACGCAGAAAGGTACGCGTTTATTATACACAATATGTGGAATTTTTCCACAGTTTTCTAGGTTGTTTGTCAATAACAAAATGGAATTTGTAGTCAAGTGGGTTGGAAGATTGTTTTGGTGCGGACAAGAGCGAGAGGGAGAGCCACGATCAAGTACATTACCAGAGATAAGAAGAGCGAATCGGGTAAGACTCTCTCGATCTTTCTGTTGCTCTCCGATTCTCCTACTCATACACTCTAAGATTGCCTGCGCGTGGCCTTCTCCCTCTCATTCACCCCCGCACCCATGAAATCTTCTGTCCCACATGACTACAAATTTCTGTTGTTTGTTGACAAAATAAAAAAGTACACCAAGTAGGGAATGGAAAATTACCAGAAAATGGGTGTAATAAACTCGGATCTTTCTAGGTCTCTCTTTATAATGCACTGTAAATTGTTCATCAACTGTACTTCAAATATGTACATATTATCACGTAAATAGCACTGGGAATTTGTAGGCATTAGGTGTGTCTGGAAGCCACCTTCAAAAAACCTTCACAAACGATGCACATTTCACATTTTAGCTGTATTTATACTAATTTGTTATGATATTCCATATGATCATATTCCAAGGGGCTTCGGGTTCCTATTTTGTAAACTGTCTTTGATAGACTGTCTACTGCCTTCTGATCGGGTGGGTGCTCTGTCCCACGACCGATACCCACTGCTTCCATCCATGTGGCCCACTGAGAACCAATCTTTGCTGGTGTGCGAATCTCCGAGAAACTTACCCACACAGACTCACTATTTCCGGCGCTCTGTTCTCCATTTGGAGGCTCGTTTTGTGTATGTGAACGGGAGAGCCGGCCGATCTATGGTAGTGTGCGTGAATGGCGGCCACTTACCAACACCATCGCATAGTTCGCCGCTCTCTCGTGCTCGCACTTTCTCTGTTGGTGGAATTGTTGCCTTGCCTGTGTGGGTGATTCTGTCTTAATTACCTATACCAGTGTAAAGTTAGGTGCTCTCTGGCTCTCTGTTTATGTTTGCCGAAGTTGGGAAGTCAGCTGGGAGTGATCAGCTGTATGATCGCATATTGGGGGATAGGATAACTCAAAATAAATTGTCCAATTTGAAGAGCTTCTTAGAGGGAAGCGAATAAGCAGAACTGTACTTTTTTCAGGCTAACCTTCTAGAAAATTTCATCTCAAAGTCCATGCCCGTATCATGTTTTTCTATATAAAGGCACCTAATAAGTCTCAAGCTAAACAAATGTGGAGACCTTGCCCATAGCTTCCCATATCCCCCTCGCCACATCTAGCTCCCCTCCAGCTGATGCCTGGAATTATTTATTATTCTAACCAGTCTATATCCCATATGCGTCGTCATATATACAGACTATATACACACTAGCGATAAGGTGCCGCCCGATCACCGTCTCTTTTGCTCCCACTCAGGAACCCGATTCCGCCGGGTATAAAAGCCGGTGCCCCGCTCAGTAGAATTCAGTAAGCAACAAGTGAGCGAGCTACCTACAGCCAGCTAACAGCTAACAAGTAAAACCAAGTGTTATATCCAAGTATCAACCTTTCAAGATCCCCATCAAGATGCGTTTGGGACAGACTGTACCTAACTTCAAGGCCGAAACCACCAAGGGCCCCATCAACTTCCACGAGTGGCAGGGTAACCAGTAAGTAAACCCCCTTAAACCCTCTTCAGGCTCTTGGGCTCATCGTATGCCTTTCCTCCGTTCCTCAGGTGGGTGGTTCTCTTCTCTCACCCCGCCGACTTTACGCCCGTTTGCACCACCGAGCTGGGCAGAATCGCTGTCCACCAGCCGGAGTTCGCCAAGAGAAACACCAAATGCCTGGCGCACTCTGTGGACGCCCTTAACTCCCATGTGGACTGGGTGAACGACATCAAGAGCTACTGCCTGGACATTCCCGGGGACTTCCCCTACCCGATCATTGCTGACCCAACCAGGGACCTGGCTGTCAGCCTGGGCATGCTGGATGAGGAGCAGAAGCGCGATCCCGAGGTGGGCAAGACCATCCGTGCCTTGTTCATTATTAGCCCGGACCACAAGGTGCGCCTGTCCATGTTCTACCCCATGTCTACGGGCCGCAATGTCGAGTGAGTTTCTTTATTTTTTATACATCTCGATCCTTGCTTATGATTCTTATATCCTACAGTGAGATCTTGAGGACCATCGACTCGCTGCAGCTGACTGATCGCCTTCAGGTGGTGGCCACTCCCGCCAACTGGACTGTGAGTTTACCTTTGACACACTAGGTCTATTCCATACTGATTTTGTATTTTCTATAGCCCGGAACTAAGGTCATGATCCTGCCCAGCGTCACCGATGAAGAGGCCCACAAGTTCTTCCCCAAGGGCTTTGACAAGGTCTCCATGCCCTCAGGAGTCAACTATGTTCGCACCACAGAAAACTATTAGTTATTTCAAGCTATTTGCAATATTCAGCTTTAGCTATGTGCCACAAAAAATTTATTACTAAACAAAACAGGTTTTATAATAATTTTTTTTTTTAGAAAATGTAGCTTTGTTAGCACATTTTTTGAGTAGTTTACAATTTTTGGTCTTGAGTCAGCTGTTTATGAAGTTACTGAAAATTATAAGAAATTGTAGGAAAAATGTAAACAGTTAAAAAATTAAAATTTTTGAATTTGAGAGAGCTTAAGAGCTGCTACTCTTTATGTTCAAATCGTTAGGTTGTTGTTATTAATCAGGTTAAGTCTTTGAAAACTTGTTTAAATTTCTTCGCTTTTTAAAGTTGAAGCTGAAAACTAGATATAAATATATGATTTTATTAATCTAGTTATCCTGAAATAAACACGAAACATTCGTACAAAATTTATACATTTTAATAAGGTCGTTAAAAACATATTAAATTTTCTTGGTTTTTAAAATTTAAGACTCTCTCAGAAACTTATATATAAAAAAAGATTAAATTATATAATTATCCTGAAATAAAAACTAAATATTCATATAAAATGTATAATATTAACTAAGAAGATTTAATTGATTCATTCTTAATTATAAATTTATTTATAAAGCTTTTCTTGTTACCCATTTTTAAATTCCTAATTTTTTGAGTTTAAAGTACTATCGTCACTTTTATCTTACAATTTAAAAAGCAGTTTTTCTTTGATATATGTTTGTATCCTTTACAATTGTTGTTATTAAAGATAATTAATTTTTTTTATATCTTAATAAATTGCAATAACCATGGCGGTTATAAAATATAGTTGTCTGATTCAGAGCCGTCTTATATACGACTTATTTAATCTTTATTTCATATGTATTCTGTATTCTGTTTTTCATATTTTTGTTTCACCTTAAGATTTTCTTAATTTATTGAATAAGATATCCTAGACCAAAACTATGCCCTCTCTTTAAGCACATATTCATAAATACATTTATAGTTGTCAATTTAAATTACCAATCAATAAATAACTGATAATAATTCCCCAGACCAGCATAGTTTGTGCAACTTGGAACTTATTGAACGCAAACATTAAAATTTCTCGTTTCACTGGTGGTTCGGCAAGCCGTAAATTTATATGCAAATGCATGTTTTATCTGTTTTTTACTTCGCAGCAATGAAATTTGATGACTTATTAAACGAGGCCATAAAGAGCGCATTTCGGGCAAGCAAGTCGGTGTCGGTGGCCTTTGGGCGCAATTGTTTGCCAGAAAGTCGGCCGTATCAATCGACTCGATATGTGATATGCGATTGCGATTGCGAGTCCCAGTGGAACGGTTCAGATTGTTTTTCGCCACCGTTATGGCCCCTAATACTGGTGTCCTGCGGCGGGATGGCAGGCAGGCAGACACGCAGGCGGAGTGACAGTGGGAGTCACTGGCTGGCTGACTCCCTGGTTTATGTGCGAACATTGATGGCAGTTTTACGACCGCTTTTCCGTGCTCTACACGTCGAAAACACAGCTCCACAAATTGCCTAGAGTTTTCCGTAAGCATGGGGAACTGGGGCAAGCAGCTGTGGAAACGGAAATGTAGGTGTAACCTACGGCGAACGTGGACGTGCAAGGCCAAAACCAAAAACAGAAAGTCCAACGAACGCACGGAGAACGAACTGTGGCAGGAGTACTACGCCCCTTATCTGCACTTTTTGTCCTTCTCGGAAATCTATTCGCGACTGGAGACGAGTCCCTCCGAGGTGAGATGGTAAGCAAGTGATTGCAACTGCGACCTAACAAAGACTTCCACAGGGACTCACTGAAGAAGTGGCCACCACAAAACTGAAGCGCAACGGGAAGAACACTTTGCCGATCCCCCCGAAGCCACATCTCTTGCTTGTGAGATATCTTTGTTACTGCTTCAGCGTCATAGGCGTAATCCTACTGCTTTCCGCCTTCGTCTGCTTCTTCCTGCACTATTATGCGATTATAACGCAGCCAAAAAAAATGCACAATCCGAAATATCTGCTGGCGGGCTGGATCTTGCTCATTATCTTCTTTCTCGCCGGGCTCATGCCCGTCCTGCATGAGGAAGACAACACAGCGCTGCTGGAGTCTATTGATGAGACGATGCCCATGTTCTGCACTGTGATCCGTGAGGGTAACAAGGAAATCATCCTCACCCAGGACGTGGTGATCGGCGACATAGTGCCGATCAGTTATGGTCAGCGGTTGCCGGCGGACTTGAGATTCATTACTACCTCTGGCTTGGAGGTGGACAATGTGGCTCTTACAGGCTCATCGGAGCCCTGGCAAATCTTTCCCTTAGCAAGTGACGAAAAGCAGATATTCTCGCAATCGAAGGTTGTGTACTTGAATGAATAGAAATTGTTTAATTCTTTTTACGAATTGAAAAGAAAATTTTAGTGACTTGTATTTTTTTAACTATGTTGCCATGGATATTAATATATATATATTCAACAAACAATAAAAATAATTACTTAATTTTAACAGCATTAATCCACTGAGATTTCTAAGCATTCATTTAATTGTTTTCAAAGTTTGATCTCCAAACTTATATATAGAAATCTTACAAATACAAATCACATACCCTTCAATCTGCTGTCAAACTGGACGCTTCTGCTGCCGAAACTCCAACAAAATGGATCCACAACCTTTGCCCAGATGGATTTCCGGCAATGTGGGATTTGCCGGCACGCATGCGACTAAGGGGTATGGTCTGGGGGTGGCCATTGCGTGCGGAACGAAAACTGAAGTCGGAAAGATGATGGAACTCAGCTACAAGGAGCGGGCTGAGAGTCGGGTGAGCCTGCATCTAAGACAGGTAAGACCTACAGCTATTTCTCAATAGTTCCCTAGTTCATTCCTTGATCCTTTAAGGTTGGCTTTTATATGCTCGCTATAGTCCTCATGTGGCTTTTAATGGGTATCTCTTTTGTTCATCACGATGCCTCATTCATTCACCTGGAAATCTACATCACCTTCATAATTGCCCTGACTCCCTTGTATCTGCCCTTTATCCTCTTTTGGGGCATGAGAACGACAAGAGATCTGATGCAGGATAGCCAGTGTTACGCAAGGAACCTGGAGGCCACCAGCACAGTGGGCCTAACCACGGTTGTTATCACCGATATGACCAGGACAATAACCAAGCGGTGGATGCGGGTGACGGAGATCTTTGTGGACATGGAGCTGCTAAGTGCCGAGAGCGCGAATGTAAATGAACTGGGTCCGCGTTTCATTGAGCTGATCCAAGCCTCGGTCCTGTGCAACGATGCGGTCATTAATTCGGGTAACATCGGTGTGCCGAAGGAGAAAAAGAGCATGTACGGCAACTATCTGGACATAGCGATGCTCAGGTATGGCCTGCTTACCCTGCCCGATGTCAACCAGCTGCGGCGGGATCACGAGATGGTGGCCAACAAGGCGTTCACCTCGGCGGATCGTGTCCAGGTGACGGTGCACAGGACCTACGGCGCCGACGGGGAGCTGAAGCTCATCCTGCTAATGAAAGGGCACTGCGACACGGTGCTTCGCCACTGCTCAACCTTCACCGTGCGCGATGAGGAGATCCCGCTGGACGATGAGCTGCAGGACAACATTCTCAACCTGGCGGAGGGGCTGCTGGTGGGGGGTCGTCAAGTGCGAGCCTTTGCCTTCAAGGAGCTGAGAAACCAATTGGAGCTTCGGAGAATCTCGCAGGTGTACAGTGGCGGGGGCAGGGAGTTCCGGGATTACCTGGCAGTGGACACCTTCTCGCTGAGACTCCTCGGCTTAATAGCCACCTACACTCCTCCGCGGTCTACCATTCCCAAGGCGGTGGCCAGATGCCGATCGGCGGGCATCAAGTTGATCCTGGTCACCAGTCATGACCAATACTTGGCACGGGCTATGGCCTCGGAGGTCGGCCTTATGTCGCCTCACATGGATGAGATTAAGACGGGTCGAAGACTATCAGACTATCGAAATTTCAGACCCACGGAAATTGTAGATATGTTGGAATATGCCGATGAGAAGGACCACCACCAGCGCTGGTACATCGAGCAGTTGCTCCTCAACCAACGCGATTTGGTGTTCGCCAACACGGAGCCGGAGCAGCTCCATTGGATCGTGGAAGTCTGCCAGGGTCAGGGAGCGGTGGTCTCAGTCATCGGAGGGTCCCTCCACGACACTCCAGCTCTAAGGAGCGCCAATGTGGGCGCCGCCAGGCTCGGATGCGCCCCCATATGCGAGAATAGTGCAGATCTCGTTCTGCTGGACAGCTCCTTCGCCACCTTGTCCAGGGCCATCGGAATAAGCCGGCTGTTCTTCGAGAACCTTAAGAAGGCCTTGGCCTATTGCCTGGCCACCAACACGGTCTGGATAATAAGTTTACTCGCCTTCTTTACGCTCCGGATTCCCCTGTTGTTTAATATGATTGATATTATCATCGTTTCCGTGTTTGTGAACCTGGTGAGGAGGCTTCCTGCTATGCTTTTCTTTGGCTTTAATCAAACTTTTCCACAGATTCCTGCCTTGGCGCTGCTCTATGAGTTTCCAGAGGAAAATCTGATGCAACAGAAGCCCAAGGTTTACGATGACTGCCTGCTCAATAGTCGGTAAGCTGACACCATCCTCATCTATAGATTCGAAAATATCCCTATAGTTTTTCTTATCCTGTAGCCTGCTCTTTGTGTCGCACATCCTGGTGGGGACCATCGAGGCAGCCGCTGTTCTCATGACCTACATAATGTTCATGGTGGAGAGAGGATTTTTGCTCACCACCCTGGTAGGTCTGCAGTACCAATGGCACGACGAGACGGTCAACGACCTCACGGACTCCTACGGCCAGGAATGGGTGCGAATAAATTACAAATTCTCGGAGACATGCTAAGTCCAACTCCCACCCATTCCTAATCTCCCACAGAGCAGCGTCGAGCGCAAGCAACTGGACTGCCAGGTGTCCTCCCTTTGCCTGATGGCCATCGTTGTGATGCAGTGCACCAATCTGGTGTTGAACAAGACCGGACGTGCCAACCTGCTGGAGCACGGTTTCGGCAACTTGCAAATGAAGCTGGCGGCTGCGTATTTGATTGCGGTCTGCATCCTGCTGTGGTGGATGGACCCCACATGTTGCCTGCACCTGAAGGGAGCCAAATATCTGGAGTGGGTCTCCAAAAGCAGACTTTGCAGCTGTGATTTTTTAACCTCTTATTGTTTCAGTATACTTACCTTCCTTTGGGTCATCTTCCCCTTTGTGCCTATGATGGTGTTCCTCGAGTCCACTCGCAGGTACTTTCTGCGAATGTTTCCAGATAGTTGGCTGGAGAGGGCCACCATGTTTTGAGAGGTCATCTGTTTATATATATAAAAAAAAAGCAAAACTGAAGATGTTTGAACCAAAAAGATAATAGCTAAAAAATAACCATTTATATTTAATAAATTTTATTGACGACTATATCCCATATCAACTTTATTATTATCTCTAGCATCTACAACTATTGGCTTCCTTTATCGTTTTCAAATGTTCTCAGAACTTATATGAGATTTGTGTATTTTGTAAGCCAACAAAGTCAGTGTGCTGAAACTCTTACCTGAACATTAAACCTCTCACTTTTATGCACCATCAACTTATACGTTTTTTAGCTCAGCTTGTTTCTGGCACTAAAAAGAAGGGAACATAAAACTCGCCTCTAAAAGCTAATAGCTCGAAAAGACAGAGAGTGCATTTCCGAGTTCTATTTTAACGAGGACTCTAAAGTTTAAACAAAGAAATGAAACTCTTAGATTTTATTTTTAAAATATTGCATTTTATTTGTGAATAGCACGAAGCTGTGGTTGCTGGTGGTGGTGGTGGTGGTGGTGTTTGGCGGTTTCTGTGTGGTTGTGGTGTCACATTTAAGACTGGGTTTAATTATTTAATTTGCTTCGCATATTTGACATCTACATTTAATGACAATGAGTAGGACTTTTCACGGATTTGCATTCTTTGAACATCAATAATTTTACTTTAACTTTACGTTTACTCTTGTAAATACTTTGGTTTTGTTTTGGTTTTGATTAAACTTTCTGTGAACATTTACTGAATAATGCTTGTTATTGTATATCGGTTATCCCTATGTATGTACTATGTGGGCTGTGCACAGTCAACGAAGTAACTGGGGGCTAAGGTGAGCAATTGGCTGCTGGAGGGTTCGGAGGAGGAGGAGTAGGAGCTACTGGTAGTTCCTTACTCTTTGAGCGGGGGTCAGGTGCTCGATCGGATCAAATTCCTTAGCTTGAAGGTGTATCTCTATATTCCAATTCCATGTATTTGCAGTGACTCAGACCAAAGACCCTTTTTTCCTACCATCCGTACATTATCCCTAGGTGCGTGTATATATGTTCGGAATCTGAATCTGTATCTGAATTGGAACACAAAAATATAACTCTCTAGGCGATCGCTGCTGCTTTCGATGTTCTGAAACTTTCCGTTCTAAAACTGAAACCGAACTATCTATCATATCTATCAGCTGTGGCTCTGGATCTGAGGGGACTCAACGTGGATCAATCAATCAATCTATCAATCAATCTATCAATCAGGCAACGCAAGCTGAAGGCGGTGGGATCTCTCTGATCGGGGTTACTATCTCAACGGTCTCTATATATCCCTCTAATTTCATTTCGTTTCGGTTTAAGGTTCTAGGTTTAAGGTATTGGGTTTTTGTTTTCGACTTCCGATATTCGACTTTGTCTTCGTTTTGTGGCTGTTAAAATACTTTAAAATTATTGTATTATCTCATTAATTTAGTAGTTTTGTTTGGTTTAATCTTAAGTTAATATAGATTTAAGTACACACACATATATATATTTATATATATATATGTATATATATATCTGTATATGCTTGTATACGTGTTCGTATGTATTGTATATATATCTTTAATGGTACTCGTGTTCTTGGGTTTCTGCATTCTCTCTTTTGCATTCGTATTTTGTGTGTATATTTAGTTAAAGTAATTTGTTTAAAGTAATTGCGTTTACATTTATTTCTATTGAAGTTGCTCTCTTTAATTTGACACTAATTTTAGGTTTCAATTTGTTTAAAGTTTAAACTCTGTTCCATTAAATCGAACATTTTCGTTTTTTGTGTGTTTAATTTTGGCTTCTGTGGAAATAAAACATCGCATTGCAAATATACGCTCCGTTTATTCTCTGTAAAAAATAAAATCGTGTAGCACGAGCTCGAGATTTCGCTCGGATAAGTTCACAGTTAGTCCCTAAAGATCGGTATATATATAGCCTTACTACGTGGAAAGTACGCCTCAACTACACACACAAACGTCGTCGTCGTCGTCGTCTAGTAAAACTCGGCAATCTCCTCGAGATTCTCGCTTTTCCTTGAAGTGTCAGAGCCGGCCTCGGAGCCGGTGTAGGCGGGGCAGGTGGATATCGGTCAGATTGGTCTATCTGGGCAGCCGCAGGTGGAGCAGGTCACTGGGTTAGACGCCCTGGGCCAGGCTCTCCTTTGGCAGCGCCAGGATCGGCTGCTCCACGCCCTGGTGCGGTATGATGAACGGCGAGGTCAGCATCTGCAAGGGTCTGCAACGGAAAGCAATGAGTGCCTGGTTGCCAGCGCTCTCCTAACTCTCCGAGTACAGGGGATTTTCTGTGGGTCAACGGCAACTCACTCAGCGAAACTGGCCGCGGTGACCATCGGCTGGCGGACCGAGTGCAGCGCCTGCGAGTTCTTGGCCCTGGCCAGCAGGCTCATCACCGTCCGCTTGGTGGGATTCATTCCGGAGCGGGGCACCCCCAGCAGCGGGCGCTTCCTGCCCAAACCGCCACCTGTGGCACAGAGAGCAGAGTTAGGAAGAATCGAAATTAAAATCCCTTAAAACGTAATTAAGCAGGAAAGGAGAAAATTGCTAGGATTTTGAGACTCCACAGACTGGCACTGACCGTGATTAGTAGTCACTGGAAGCCACGGCATCAGCTCCACTCCACTCTCTCCACTCACCTATGTTGATGGTCTTGACATTTCGCAGCGCAGGATGCAGGAGGGCGGCTCCTGGTGGCTCCAGAAGCGTCAGAGCGGATGCGGCTGCCTCCCCCCCATCGCCGGACAATTGCAACGCACTGGCACTCGCCTGGTTGGTGGGCAGGCCGGCCATGGTGGCGCCCACTCCGGTGGCCGGCTTTAGGAGTCCTCCAATTCCAGCAGCTGTCAGCTGATGCTGCAATGCCACTGCCATGGCTGTGGTGTGCACTGTGGATGGATTGATGCCGGACAAAAGGGAAAGAGGGCGGTGAGTGGCAGCTGGAGGATTGCGTCGAACAATGGCACCAAACCAAGTAGCACAATGCAATTTTAGATTAATTATCCCCATGGAATCTACATTCTCATGATTATATTGGTCAATTTTGGACACTCAAAGAGTTATAATGGGGGATTCTTTGGAGGTGACTCGTTGAAATCACAGAAAACTCTAACTCTTGTCATTTGATTAAAGTAAATAAATGGTTTAAGCTTTGATTAAAGTAGAAAATCTTGCAGTGCCATATATCCATGTAACACCCATTATTTGTATCTTAAAGTTCTCTTAAAACACAAAAACCCCCCACTGAGGCCAAGCTGTAATTTTCCCAACTCTCGGCTGGAGCTGGATTATGTTCATTGGCCTTTCAGTGGCTGCCGTAACTTCCAATTAATAGTCGAGCTGCCAGCTAAGCCACTGGGCTGCCGGAGGAGTCCACTTACATGCTGCCGCTGTTGCCGGAGTCGCCTGTCCGGAGAGATGCTCCCCGCAGGCAGCCGCCGCCGCTGCACTGGCTCCGCCGTGGGCATGCTGCAGCAGCTGGTGGAAGTGCGCCTGGTGGCTAGCGCCGTGATGATGCTGCTGATTGTGGTGGTGCGCCTGCTGCTGCTGCTGCTGTTGGGGCTGCTGGTGGTGTCCATGGGCATGGGCTGGGTGCAGGTGGGCGTGGTGCGAATGCTGGTGCGGATGCGGGTGCTCGGAGCTGGTGGTGCTGATGCTGGTGATCCCGGCTATGCCCAGGCTAACGCAAGTGGGCGAGCAGTCGAGCTTGTCGACAGTGGACAGGCACTCCATGCCGCTGGCGTCGACGTCCGATTTGTCATCGTTGGACGTGTCCATGTCGGCCAGTCCTCCGCCCAGGCCACGCCCGCTGCCGCCGCTGCAGGAGGAGGTGGTGGCGCCCGCTCCCTGATTACTGGCATTGATGGTGGGACTCTGGGAGTCGTCCAGGGAATGAGTGCCCAACGTGGGCGTGGACGTGAGCGCCTGCATCTCCCACATTTGCTCCTGGCGAATGTCGTCATGGTAATCCTGTGGGGTTAAAAAACAGAACGAGTTTGCCTTGTGTTAAGATTTTATATTTTATGATTTAATTGGCCACTTCAGAGGAATTTCGAGGTTTAATTAAAAAAGGTAAACATGGAATAGGTCTTAAATGTATACCCTTTCAGATATTATAATTTAAGAGATAAAAACAAATTGTAGAGATAACAAAAAAAGAGCATTCGCTGATCAAAATGACGAGTAAAGACGACGAGTATAAAAGGAGAAAGACGAGCAAACGGGGATTAAAGGACGAGTAAAAATCTCTTAAATTTCGACAACCAAAATCGACGAGTAAATACGATCACCAAATAAAACATAGACATTTGACGGGTAAATACAGCGAATTACGACAACTAGTTAAAACGGCGAGTAAATGTGACGAGTCTGGACTACCTGTATGATTGCGGAACGAGGAGAAACCCAAGAACAAACCGACGAGTAACGACAACGAGAGCTAGAGATTTGAGCTCAAGCTTTTCTCTTTCTTTAAACCTTATATTAAATACTTAATCATTTAATTAATTAAGTAAAAGTATTGAAAGGGGTAGGGCACTTCAATGCAACTACTACCTAGGGATTGCCCTTTCCCGTTGGGATTAGTTGTGCACCCAGAGGAACACCTCAATCGAGCAATTAAATTTAATTCACGTTTCTCTGGCCGCCGTCGCCGCCGCTTGCAATAAATGCGAATTTTATTGGATGTCAATTAAAAGTTTGTGCGCAGCCACGTTTCGTGTGTCGTCCGCGGAACACCCCTTGGGCGGATTCCGTCCTGGCCCCGGGATACACACATCTGGTTTACGGATGGGGTATATGTATCTGAGTATCTGTGAGTGCTTAATGCAATTATGTGGGTGGCGGTAAGTTGGGTGGGTCTTCGAGTGGGTTGCGATAGGTACACGCAGTCTGTATACAGGAAACGCCAGGCCGGTGGATACACATTTCACCAACCCCATTAACCAACTAACTCGTTTATGAATATCTCTGAATTTGCAAACGAATCGCACACAGCACATGTATCTATTTCATTACATTTTACTACCTGAGGAACTGTCGCATGGGGCGGCATTTTTATGGCACTGGCATTGGCACTGTCGCTGGCGAACATAAATCCTGATTGCAGATGCCATAAACAATTTCCCGCCAGGTGGCTCAAGCTTAAATGTGTCACAGATGAGATTTGCAGGGACTGCCAGCGCCCGCACCTCAAAGTAACCCCAGCAATTTATCTAAATTGAAACAGTCTCTGCTTTCTGCACCTCCATATCTTCTCCCCCATATCTGTATCTACGCTCGAGATATCAAATAATTTCTATGCAAATTTTCGTCGTGTGTAATCAGATCGGAATAACTCAGAGGGGCGTAGCACGAGAGGGTCTAAAGCCCGGCCAGGAGACAGTTTTCATGTTGCCAACAGCTGCCAGTCAAAGGTCGGCCAGGATGTCAATATATTAGATTACACCCGGGGCCCCAAACTTGGCATCGCTTTCTGGCAGATGTGAGGGGATCCGGGCTTCAAAACAATGCCTCATCACGTGGGGAGGTGCGAATTGAATTTTGTGGCGAATTATACATAGATCAAAGCGAGGTCTTAAAGCATAATTTGCAATAAGCTGGATACATTGTGCTCATTTATAATTCCGAGTATCTCACGGATGCGGGTGCTGCAACCCAGATAGATGCCCTGGCATTCCTTTTAAATTGCTCCATGTCCACTCCCCACAATTCTGCTTGCATCTTAAAGAAGATGTATAAATAAAGTATGCCGGCGCCGGGCAAGTGAGGATGATGCCCAGGACGTGCCGCACCGTGCCGCGGCGTGGTCCTTCCCAGTACTACGGAATGCCCATATCCCGGTCTGCTGGCTGCAGATAGTAAACGGTTAACATTTGTGTCTCAAGTGGAGGAGCAAGCTCCAAAAGGCAAGTGGGAGGGGAATAACAAAGTCCCCCTCACACACGATGGCTCCACAAGATGGCGATGGCGATGGCGATGGCTATAGCGATGGCAATGGCGATGGCGTGTCGAGCGCCACACAATGGACAGAGGAAGATGCCAGCCAAGTTTCCAAGCCAAGAGGAAGTGGCAAAAAGGGAGTGCCACAGCCAGTGCCAGAGGAGTGGGCGTGGCACAGTCGAGTGCGACTGGGTGTGGGTGGCAAATGTAATTACAGCACAATGCAATTTAGTCAGCGAGCGCGGCGAGCAGGAAACCCGCGCTGCAAGCCACGCGAACACGGGGCAACACGGAAGCTGAAGTCGATAACGAGCACAACCTTGGAGGAGTACAAGTCCGCAGTGTTTCAGGACTGCAGGACTCCGCCAGTCCTTCTACACTCACCAAACAGTTTTCCCATGACTTTCGCAAATTCGCCTTTAATTAAAGTCGTCAGCGAGTGAAGAAAACTTTTTAAAAAAAAAAAAAACAAAATTCTTTTTGGAAGTTGGGACCCTTTAGCATGACTTTGTACAAAATATATTTCAAGGAAAGCAAACACTTCAAAAATTAAAAATCTTGTGTTTATAATTACCTCAAGCTTGGAGTCAAGTGCCTTAAATTTTGGGAAACTAAAAGAGGTTAAAAACTAAAAGAGTTAAAATATAAATAAGTTGTTCACGCCAGAAAGGCGCTCAATTTCGGGAGGAACGCTCTCCTTTTCTCTCCCTCTTCCTCCGGACTTCCAGTCCTAGAGCTTCCAATCCGCTCTCCCTAGCATTAGTTTCCTTTGTATATTTAGTACCAATTACTCCTTCTACTAATAAACATCGACGCACGTCGCGTAAAACCCCGTCAAGTCTCCGTGTTCTTATTTCGAGTGCATTTCAGCTTAAAGCCGCCCCCCTCCAACATAAGTTGTGAAGAATTTGTTTAAAGAATTTTGAGGTATTGTGTATCCTAACTTTTCTCAATTTAATTAATATAATTTGTATTTTAAAATTCAACTCTTTCTTAAAATAACAATTATATTTTCAAGATTTTAACAAAGCAAAGAATATTAAAAATGATTTTTCTTTCTAAATGTAAAAGATATTCTTAGTTTGGCGACAAAATAATATCTTCTATCGCTGATCAGGCTATGAATCCTGCTGGAAATATTTGGAAAATGTTTTTTAACTATTTAATTTAAATATTCATTTTATAAGCCAATTATAACGTACACATTTTTATATATTTTTCTGCAAGTGCACTCCTCGCTGCCATAACTTTAAGCTCCATGTCTTGGCAAACTTTAAGATGCTCATTTGCCTGCTGGCCATGGAGCGGCCGAAAACTTGAATCATTAATGGGTATTAAACACAAACAATGCCGAAAGGGAAGGCCTTGTGCCCCAAAAAAAAAGAAGGTCCAAGCCAAGTCCCATGTCCCCACTGAAGTCCCATAAAGGCAGACTCACCGGAACAAGGAAGCGTCGCACTTCCGCCAGTGCATAGGCGATCCGGGCATGGGCCTCCGCCGGAGCGGCAAAGGTCGAGATCTCCACGTGCAGGTCCTCGAAGAGATGGGCATAGCGACTGTCGCCGCTGGCGCGCAGCTCCTCCTCCTTCCGGCGGTCCCGCATCGAGCCGCGTCCCAGCACAGCCATCTTGCACATGGTGTCCTCCTGCAGCCGCTTCATCGAGTTGCCCTTGGGTCCGAGCAGCTTGCCCACGAAATTGAACTGCGTGGCGGCCGGATAAAGGGAAATGCAATGAAAATGTTGCTCCACCTTTTCCATTGCCAGTTTTCCACTTACCTTGGGGTGATCTCGCACCGGCACCGCCACTTTGACGGCCACCTTCACCGGTTTGTCGCGTGTGATGTCCAGCATTTTGAGTTTCTCTGCGGGAAGGCAAACAGGAAAATGCATTCGGCTTAATGGGCGTGTAATTAAACGAGTAATTTAACTTTATTGAGGGCGGAGGTACAGTCAGGGGGTCCAGAAAATAAGCAATTTAATAGCCCAGTTCCACTGGTAAAGCCTTTTGCTTGCTTCTAGTGTTTCAGAAATAATATAGTATAAAATGTAAGCAATAACAAATGGTAGTCTGACTTTTCCCATAAAAAAATAATTACACTTTCCTTTTACCTTAACGCTCAAATGTGTAATTTAATACAAAGCTGGGAATTCTTGAGAATATTGGGGGGAAAGTATAACAAGTGCAGCAGGTCTTGAGCTTAACTAAACCAAGAATATATTCCCTTTTATTTTAAATAAGATTCAGGGAGTAAAAATATTTGTAAATACATATTGAAAGTAAAATAATACTTCACTTTGGATCAAAATGTTAGTATTTGTTTAGGGAAAAACTTTAAATAACCTTTTTAAGGCATTTTCTGGATTTAAAATGTCAGGTAAATGTTACTAGGAGATATATTAAAAAAGCAAACTTGATATTCTGAACATAAAATAAATGAGTTTTGTAGAGTCACATAGCAATACATCAATTTTATTCAATTAAACGATAATTAGGTCAAGTTATTGAAGCTGCAAAATGCTGCAGAATCTACATATAAATTGGGGAAAAATGAGTGACTAAAATAATTATAAATTAATATTAAAGTCAAGCGTGACTCATGCAAAATGGATGTATTTATTAATGGATATTTTGAAAACAAACTGAGTCTGAAATAGTTTAAAAACCGAAGCTTATTTGAGGTAAAATTCAATATTAATAAAGAGAAATTTAATATTTTATAGATGAGTGAATATTTGTAAAATCTATTTTTAAAGATATATGGTATATGTGCAACTGTTTTTCGCAATTTAAAAGAGAAGTACCACTTGATTATAAATTTGCATTTGCATTTAAATTTAGTGACTTTAAATCCCTAACGTGATACATTCATATATATATTTAAGCAAGAGCCAAAACCGTTTCGCTTTCTCCTCACACCTGTTAAAATAAATGTATTTAATGTTGCAATTCAAGCACTGAAATTGTGTGGAACTTCTCGACGTTGCCTCCATTCATTTCCTCGGCGCTATCAGGTGAATAAAACTATATATATTCCTCACTCTATCCCCACACTATTCCCTGTGCCAGCTGCCCTCATAAGTATGCTACAGTCGGCGAGTTCATCGGATTATCTCGAGCTGACTTGTGTCACCCACTCACACGCACACACACAGAGAGATCCTGCATCCTTAGCACATTCGCACCTACCCGTAAATTGTATCTGGTACCTTGGTATCTTATATCTGTATCTTTAGCTGCCCGCAGCAGACGCAGCGATGTTTTGTAAACATTTGGCGGAGCCTTAAAGACAGCTATGGATGCGACTTCCTCTCCTCACCTGCTTATGGTCTTTCTCTCTCTCTCAGTTTCAGCTGTTTGTAACTAATTAAGCAAAATGCTTTTGCACACACACACACACGCGCACACAAACAAATACAAACCGAAAAAAGGGGCAGAGGGCAGGGGGCGGGGGGGGTAAAGGGGACAGCTGGATAAATCTGTTGACAGGCCCAAACATGAAAACATTTTTGTTTGCTCTTCAGCTCAGGCTCAAGTCTTGGCAAGGACTCACGGGGACACAAACACAAACAGGAGGCGAAAGCGAGAAAGACACACACCATCTCACACCTTGAGACACACACAGAGCCACACACGCACACACACACCAAGGCATCGTCACTCATTAGCAGGCGAAATGGCTTTCTTAACACCTTTTGTCGTTGCCTTTTGCAAGGAATGCAACATTTGCATGCACCTGAAGGTGACAATCTGGACTTTTTCTAGCTGAAAAATAATGGTTAAGCTGGTAATAAAATAATAAATAAATAAATAATATAGCATAATAATGTTTATTTAGTACAAAAGACTAAATCAAGTCACAAGGGACTTATTGACAGAATTACATGAACTTCCGGCTATTTCCTTTTAGTGTTTGTCAACTGCAGGACACCACAGGCACTGGCCCCGTCTGGGGCAGCCGCTCCACCTGTTTTCCACCTGTTTACCTGCAAGCCCTGCTCCTTGCAGGCGGCCCTTTGCTACTGTCTCACCGGCAGTGCCTTGTCAGTGGCAGCAACATGCATAAGTAGCTGGCAGTTGTCAGCAAAGAGCACTCTGATGGACCCCATCCTGCCAGGTGAGTGGTAGAGAGAGAGACAGTTGCTATTTCGGGCACTGGCAAGTAGGTGAAAAGCGCAGATCTGTTTTAATTGTTTGGCATTGGTGCCGCCATAATATTTATGCTGGCTCAAAAGGAAAACAGATATTTGCCCCAGGGAATAGAATTCAGGCTGCCTGCTTGATTAATTACGCTCATCAGTCGAAGCTGAGCTAGGCTGGGATGCCTAAAAGGATATCTGTGTTCTCGCTCTGGCCACTTGTCCCACAGAAATTAGATTAATTTCCATTTCATTCGGCATTGTTTGTACTGATTATTCGAGGGGAAAGCCAGAGTCAGAGACAGAGCCATAAAAGTTGTTGTCTTGTTGTTCTTCCCTCGGCCCCGGGGACACTTTTCAATTAGCGCTGTTTCAACGGCAATTAAATTCGCCTGAAATAACTTTTTACTTTAATAAATTTCCAGCTTGGCAAAATGCTTTCACTCTCGCTTTCGCTTTAATTTGAAATAATCTAGGCATATTTGTTTTAATTAAATGATATTTTCACAATTGTCGTTGACGCGGTCCATTGCGAATCGAAATTCCGTCGTTTGGTAAAAATAACCATACCCATCTTGCATTTAAAGCGCCATTAATTGGTCTTTTACACAATGATTATGCAAATTTATTGATTTACCTTGGCCGCTCGAAAGAGCAATAATAATGATAATAATTACTTTTCGTTCGCACAGCCCTCTTTTCTCTCTCTGACAATAACTATACCAGCATGGAGGGAACTTTCAGTTTGCTTTCAGCCCTGTTCAATTTGGCAACGTTTCGGTTCTAGGTTCTGGGCTCTGGTTTCTGGCCAGAAGGTGCGAGCGAATTTGGCCAGCGCCGCCTAATCTCCACTAATTTATGGCCAGCACGACCATTAACGTAATTAGGTATGCATTTCAGGCCACCTGGATTTCCGCATCTCCTATGCTTTTTCCCCCTCATTGCAGCGGAGTCCTGGCATCGCTTCAAGTTCTGAATGGGGGGGAAGCACTTAGCTAAACAGTTGATGGCGTAAATCTGATTTAAATATCAACCGGCCGCAGCCACAGGACATGGGACACGGGACACAGGGCATGGACTTTAGCAACTGACATTTCCTTCCCCTTTTGCTTTGGTTTTTCCTGGGATTCCTTGGCATTTCCTCCAGCTTCCTGGCTTCCCTTTCCCGCGGGGCAGGTTGCTAAACATTTGCCCAGTCACTGCAATTGTTTCCGTTGCCACTTTTTGTTGCCGCTCTCTCTCTCTTTCTCTGTGTTTGCCAATGCCCGATGCCAGTTGCCATATTTTCCGTATTTTCCTTTTGCGCGCCGCCTTCGTTTGGACTTTCCGGGTCATTTGCTCGTCCGGAAAAGCGGAAAACACTGTCCTGGCTATGGGCTCTGGACTCTGGACTTTTCCTTAGTCGCCGCCTTGGGGGCAGGCACTTGAGCCAGCACCCTCGACCCCCGATCCCCGATCCACGACCCCAGCACTCGGCTGGAAAATGCTTGGAAAAACCCTCTTCAGAGCGATGACGCTGTCTTGGGCATGATATATAACCCTTTTATTTTCCCCAACCCCCTGGCACCTGGCTGCACGGAGAGAAACAAATTTCGACAATATCGCCGGTGTCTGTGACAGAAGTCTGTTGAGAATTCGAAACAAAAGTTTTGGGGCTTTCGCAAGTTTGACACAAAATATACTTATTATATTTCTCGGCTGCTACTTTACGCTGTCTCGGGGTTTCTCCACAATTCTCTAGCGATTAACAAGGACGAAGGAGGCAAAGCACGTGGAAGACGTGATGGTTTTGCAGTTGAGCAGGAGGTTTAAGGTAAATATTATAGCTTAAGAATTCTAACAGCCTTTTAGGTTACTTATATTTTATTTTATTTAAATGAACTATCATATTTTTTTGTAATCTTTAAAATTATATTATTCAATTTTTCATGGAATTATTATAAAAAAAGGTTTTTCTTGATGACTTTTACACAAGTTATTGGAAAAATTAAGACACTAAAATATTCAGTTATTTGAATTAATAGAAAATAACCAATTTAATAACCAAGATTGCATAACTTTTTATCTCTAGTGACATCTAGATCCCTCGATTATGTACATATACACTTCGAAACCTGTAAATATGTACATATGTTTTGTTCTCTGTGTGGCCTCGGGCAAAGGTCACGTGGGAGTCAAGTGTATGAATGTATATGTGCAAATTATTCAATTTCAAAGTGAAGAGATTTGCCTGTTCCCTTTCCTTTTCCCTTCTCTCCTCTCTTGTTTCCTCTTTCCACTGACCGGTGGCCATTTCAATATGGCCCAAAGCGGCTGCCAGTTTAATCAACATTTTGTCAGTGTTAATGTCCTTGGCAATTTCTCGGCTCGTGGCCGAACCATTGATGGTCCATTTAAGCGATTTTCGACAGGACACCACCAGGATGATACCTCCTCCTCCTCACTGCCCCACTCCGCCTGGGGTTTAACATTTCCCTGGGGACGGATTACCACGGAATGCGTCTCGTTAGCCGAAACAAAAGTAAAAATAATCATAAAAAAAAGAGAAACAACCGACAAAAAAAAAAAACTCAACTTTTGCCCAGAAGCTTACATGTTCCAAGGAGGAGGGTGGTGGAGTGGGTTTCTGGGGGTCCTGGGTGGAGATGCTGAGGATGCTGGTATGGGGCGGTCTAAACATCCGCCGCTCCACTCTGCTTGTTTATTATATCCCCTTTTTATGCTCATTTCTCGTCTCTTCCCGGCGACAATCTGTAATCCAATGTTGGCATTCTTTTTTGGTTTGCTTCTTTTTTTTTGTTTTTTTAAATTTCCAGTATTGCTCGGATTAGATTCAAAGGAAAGGCAAGGCAGCTACAAAAGTCAGCTTTGATGGATATATCCCAACGCTTTCGCATTCGTATTCCTCCCCTCGTTTTGATTTCTTTGTATTTCATTGTACGAGGACACGAGCCTTTAAAGCTAAGCTGTTTCCAGAGTTTAGAGTCGATCTGAGCTCCGAGTTCAAATGAAAGGCAAAGACGACAAATAGTTTTGTTTTCGCACATGACGTAATCGACTGCTGTGTGTTTATGATTAAATTTTCCCCCGGCTCCGTGTGCCTTTTCTAGAAATATGTGTGTGTTTGCTGCTATCGGTATCAGCCAGTGTGACGACGACAGTTTTTACGACGGATGCCAGGATGCCCGCTCGCTTTTATGTCCTTCCTTAACTTTTGCGTAAACAAGTCGAAAGTCGAAAAGGTGGAATAGCAGAAAAAAAATTCACAGGGTTTTCTAAATGCCCTCGGAGCATATACACATGGAGGTGGAGGTGGTCTGGCCTGGGCGGATGGGATAGGGCTACGAGTAAGCCTGGAGATGGGGCAGAGGAGGGATGGTTGATGGTTAAACAGAATCTTGGTGGTGGCTTCTCCTACGTTTGCTCCGTTCTCAGATTCGATTCGGACTTAGCCGGGGATATACTCTGCCTTTTGGAACTATAAGACAGTTGAAGGGAGAGAGCGAAGGAAGGAAGGTTGGCCCAAAAAGAAAGGATATACTCGTAAAAGAAAAAGATTCAATCACTCTTTATCGAAAGTTTGAATCGGCAGATAAGCATAAACTATTTGTCCTTTCATGGGAGTTGTGGGAGACAACTCTTTTCAATAAGTGGGTTGGGTTTTTGGTGGAATTCAAATAGATAAATATCAGGGGTTTCCATAATAATCACTAGAGATTTGAAATCATTTTCAAAACGTGCCTGAAACTATGCTACAAAACACCTAATATGGCACTCATTTTAATAATTTATTGCATACTTTTAGACACCTTCTAAAGAGATTTTAAAACTCTAACGATCCTATGTCTTGTTTTTATTTTGTGAAACAATTATTTAACTCTATTAATTTTCAATCACTGTAAAAAATATTTTAAAATTTAATTATAAAAATTCATAACCACTTGTATTGTATTTTAAATAAGAAAATTAAGAACAAATAACTTAAGTAAATCTACTATTTATATACAGCAAACCACAATTTACTTAAGAGGAATTTCTACACACACACCACAATTGAAAGTAAAACAATTTACTTGAAAAAACCCCCCGTCACAACTCTTGGCTTTTCGGTTAGGTTAACGCTTAGCCAGAATCGAATCAACCCTCCGCCTGATATCCTTAACCTGAGCCGTCTCAAGCATTTTGTGTCATCAACTGCCGCACAACTCCCGGCAGTTGTTGGCAATTATATAATCCACATACCTGAACCTTTCAGGGACCTTTCCTCGAGCGCACTTAAGCCAGCTTTAGCCTCCATCCTTTGTTGCTTTTGTTGCGGTTGACTGCAAAGTGAAAGAATGCGAATAATCTATATGAGCATGTAATAATAGTTTGAGGCCAAAGGGATTTCGTCCCTTTCAAGTTTTCAGCTAAGCCAGCCCGACCAGGAGCCACCCCCCAAACCAGGAGTCACTCTTCCTTCCCCCGATCGGAGGCCGCCCATCAGCCGACATCTTGCGGTAAGCTCGTGTAAAAAGCTTAAGGGAAACTTTGTAAAATTTGTATCATAATGCAGCTGACAAAAACGCCCCAACATTGTAAATACTTATGAAAGTTGCGAGCTGCGGGAACGGGGGGCGCTGGAAAGAATTTTGTCTCAAATCTGTTGATAAGTTCCATAATGAAATAAGCCAAGGGCCAAAGTTGGCTAAGGCAGCAATTTTTCCGCATATCCCCGAAGACAATCGAAAGTTTGCCTAACCCCGTGGAGTGAACTTTGGCGAGTCTTTATGAATATTGATTGCGGCAGCGGTGATCTCTGGCCTTTTGTATCTCTCTCTCTCTCTGTTTGCGGATTGAGTTTCAGCAGGAGCTGCCTTCCAGTGATGTCAAAGATTGACGCTCATCCCCGGCACATTCATCCATCTGCGAAAGCCAAACATTGGCCTCATTTCGAGTGTTGTCTGTCGAGTATCGGTTTCCCTCCCCCCACAGTCAGTAGTAAATATTGCCGACACTGCATTCAAAACAAACTAAACTCATATGAGAGTATCTTTCCAGCATGGATAGGCACTTGTGTGACAGTCGGAGCGTAAGTGGTGACCCCGATCCTTTGTGCTTGGGGGTTATAATTGGCCAGCACGGCCCATTAAATCTGGAAGAGCATCAGGGGCGACCCATTCAGGATCTCCGTCTGGGCATGAAATCATAAAACCTGAAAGAGTCGTATAATTTTCAGTGCCATAAAACACTCAGTCACGCTGCTTAATTGCCCCTCAAGATGATTTGAACTATTTGTCTCGCTTTTCGGGAATTAAAGCCGGATCCCTAGCACCTGGCCAACAATTGATGGATGCCTCGATAACGACTTGGCGGAAGTGGGTTAAAGTTCTTAAAATTAATGACGACGCTCAGGCGTCGTCCCAAAAATCCAAAAACTCTGCCAATGTTTGTTTGCCTTTGTCTTTGGCTTAGTCGCTGCTGCTGTTGCTGTTGTTGTTTTTTGTTTTCCCGGGCTTCTGGCAGTTCAGTTCCCCGCTTTTCGCCACTAAGTTTGACGGATTTGTGCGCAGTTTCAGATTAATGCTGCGATTATTGTTTACCGTTGGAATTACGCACAGTGGGGCCGAAGCGGCGAATTGTTTGTGTTCGCAAAGTAAATGTTTTCGATGCAGCTTATCATATTATTTTGGTTACTAAGTTGTGTTGAATATTTAAATGTTATCTAGAAATGCTTTGCGTAATATTGCTACAGAAAATAACTTGAGGCCTAAAACTATGCTACAAAATGTTATATTACAAATATTTTTATATTTTTGGGTTTCAAAAATTATGAAGTTTATATTAAGTTTAATGTACTGTTTCCTTTAATTTTTGGTAACCTAACCTTATCTGAAATATATTACAAATAAACCAAATTAAGCGCTAAATGTGGTTCTTTGTTGCATACTTTTAGGTACCTTCTTAAGAGATTTTAAAACTCCAATGAAGAAAAAGGGTTCATAAGTACCTGGATATTATAAATTCCCTTAGCACTTTCATTAAAGCTTCAACTCAAACGATGTTTTATATATATAAATTAGTTTCAGGAATCCCTTTTGCTTTCACATATATAATACATATCTTTCTGAAAACTCTATGTACTTCCTCTTCAGCTTTCTAGCAGTCACGTATATAGTACCTTCTATATTTTTAACCTAATTTCTGCCTGCCCGCCCAGCTTATGCCACTGTGCAGCGACTGCCTTGTGTTTCTTATGCAAAATTTAACCCAGTATAGAGTAGGTCGGTTCACTCAGTCAGTAGTCGGCGGGTTGACGGGTCGTCGGAATGGAGGAGGGTAGCCCGGCTGGATGGGTCTGCTGGGTTGGGTTGGTCGCTTGGCTGGTTTGCTTTATTCCTTGCCGCTCCTCGGGAGCTCCTCCCTAACCTCTGGCTCTCGCTCGCACTCGCCTTGTCTTTGTATAGCTCGGCACGCACGATTTAAGGATAACGAGGATGGAATGCAGGAAGCGAGGCAAATATTTACACAGTTGGATGATTTAGATAAAGAAGACATGAACATGAACCATAAAGCGAACGCAGAAGGCGACAGTGACTGGAAGGGAGCGCGGCGGAGGGAGTAAACCCGGGGACATTATGGAAACTGGGACGGACATTATAAGGGGATAAAGAAATTTGAATACAATGAAGGGGATTTCGGCGATAGTCGTGATTGCCGGGCGCGGCACTTCATGAAACATGAAATTGTAATCCAAATTAATGGCGTTACCCTGCAGGAAGTTCCGCTCGGCACCCCATACCTCAAACTCTCTCTAAATTAAGAAGTATTCCCCTTCCCCCCCTGAAGGCCAATTGGGCAAACGTCTGGCAATCGAAGACAATTACGTTGCTGCCTTTGATTTAAAGTCCGATATATGTGGCATATTCTGCCAACTTTTTGGTATGCAGAACAAGGCTCCACCTGGATAATTTATTCAAGCGAATATTGCAGTCACAGTCAACATAAAAAAGTGGAAAATAAAAACCAAATGGAAATGCAAATACATACAACACAAACAAGCTGCCACACAGAGAGCGTGTGGCAACACCACCCTTCCAGTGGGATGATGGGTGGCTCCACACACCCTTTCGCCCTTTATAGTATATTTCCTGCCCTGCTCGCATCCTGCAGCTCATCCTGCGAAATGGGCCCACTTGAATTCTGTATCTGCATTTTCCACAGCTACGTGTCAAATCCGTCTAAAAGCCGAAGGGCCCAGATCTGCATGTAAATGAATGTATAACATATTTCAGCAGATTCGCACAACATTTGAATTATTTGGGCATTGTGTCAACATTCCAGCTTCCATAAATCCCAACCCGTTCCGGGTTGTAGGCCCGCCCAGCCAGTGGATGCAGGACGTCGTACCAAATGCAGAAGGCATCGAACCTTTCATCTTCCATTTAGAAAGAAGAATCCATCTTCTTCCTCGTTTATTTATTTGCCTCGAATTTATTTGACCAGTTGGTCAATATTAAAATGCGAAAATGAAATATTCAAAATGCCTCAAAGCCAGGGAACAGCGAGGAACCAGCCCCAATCAAGTCCAACCCCAGGCCAATCCCTCTATTCATCTAGCCACCATTACAACCCCTTTGCCGTGTTTGCCTCCTAAATGCTAGAGGAATTCCTGACCGGAAATTGTTTCACAAGCGTTGGCCAATTAATTTCAAAAAATAATGGAAACATTTTTTTTCAGCGGTAAAGGATACACTGTTGTTGCTTGGGGGCAAAAAATATTGAAACCTGAAATTGCTTCATGCTGCAGTATACATTGTATCAGATCGTTTGAGGCTCTCGATAGAAGCAATATGGAAATACAACTTTTTGGTAGTTGCAAAAAATTCTTTGGTTTATGAAAAACTGAAAACAATAAAACAGCTTTCGGGAATTTATTTTGTTGTGGTGTATATTATATTTATATTTTATATATTTTTACCCTGTGTCTCAAATGGCGCATCTTTTCATTCCAAATCTTAAGGAAATATTTCAATAGATTTTAAAAATGAAGGTTCTATAAATAAAGATGCATTGATTTTTAATAATTCGGAAGTTAATTTGGAATTACAAATAAAAAATCATTAAAAAAGTTTACTATGAGTTAGCCTAAGCACAAACCCAAGGTTCTACACATTACTAAGCACTTCAAGCGAGTGCGAAGGAGATAGAAAGAGGGTTGCAACTTTTTTATTTCATATTTTTCGAAAAACCTTCGCTTAATGCTTATTATTATTTATTATATTTTTATTTTCCACCTTGATTCCACTCTCTATTTTCCTTTAAAATCAATTTGGTCAGCTTTTCTCAGACTGTTGACTTTCTAACTCTGTCTAGTACCTCTAAAGACCCTTTTCTTCGAGTGCACAAAAGTATAGAATTGTATTTTCAACTAAAATAACGAAGCGTAGCTACAGAGCGAGGGGTAACTGCCCAGGATAGCCTCGAAGAATTTGTTTATTTAATCGACAAGCTCAAGCCCAGGCCCCGAGTACCTCCAGCTTCAGTTTCAGTTCCATCTACAGTTTCGACCTGATTTGATCTGGCGATTGCACAGAACGGAATGCGCAGAGAGCCATTAAAGTGCCATTGATTAATCGATGTGGTTATCAGAGCCACATAATCGGATATCCCGCTGCGATGCATACACATACTGACACACTAGCTGAATGGCAGTGCATTTCAGAAATTGATTTATGCGGCGGGTGTGCATTTTAAATCTGCCAACTTTGGCATGGTCAGCTCCAAACATTAATCATATACACCTAATCTCGAATTCATGGCCTTCTCCCCTTTCTAATGAAGCACAAAAATAGTTATGTCTCCCGGGGGAGGGCATCCCAGCCAGCTAGCCAACAAAGTTTGCGCTTTTAAGCTGGACCCTAACCCGGCAAATGAAAACAAATTCATAGACGTGTCCCACATATAATACGGGGCCACCAAATATGCAGTACACACATTTAGATGTATAATTCAGCCGCAAAAAGTTAAACTTTTCCCTTTATTCTCGAATAAGTTGGCCACAAGCCCGAAAAAGGCAATGCCAAAGGTCCCTTCGCCCCTCGCAGGCATTCCTTCATAAATAATTTTATGATTTCAAATTCCATTTCCCCATTTTGTGCTCGACCAAAGGAAGGTTTGTTCCCAAACTCACTCTCGGTCTTCGTCTTAGTTTGAGGTTGGACCTGCTGAGGTTGAGGTTGGGGATGGGGGCTGAGGTTGAGGTTAAGGTTCAGGTTGAAGTTGAAGTTGAGGTTTCCTGCCACAGTTACAGCCACAGTTACAGTTCCCAGGCGCATTGACTTAATATATTAGTGTTCATCAATAATCATCTTCGTAATAATTTATCAGAATTTGTTGTATTTGGCGCAGGTCTTGGCGGAAATCACCAAATAAATGGCTTTCCACTCTATTTCCCTTCGCTCCCTTCTTTCATTTCGGCGATGAGTGAGAGTGAGATAAATCAAAAGCAATTACATTCATTCGTTCTCGTTTATATGACTGCCACTCCTCCGCTTCCACATACCCAGAATTCCATTCCCATTCCCCTTCCCATTCCTTTTGGGCCAGCCTCGGGGGGAATTAGCCAGGTCTGCCTCGGACCATCTCGGACACATACATTTTCCCCGCTGGCTATTTGTACTTCTGCTTTGGCAAATATACTGCCATCGAGCCGCATTCCAGGTGAATAATTCAGTTACTTTGCCGAGCCGTAATTAAGTTGTAACAGGTGTGAAAAAGCCCCCTCACACATTTCATTTACTGTCGAACGTTGTACGTGAGCCCCAAACGAAACCCAATATTTACCTAGTTAAGAAGAAATTATGCCCGGATTCTCCACTCTCTACTCGACTTGGCTCGGCTAGACCTTAATCCTGGCTGGTGCTGGCGGCGCACATTTGTCTCAATTTTCACAGTCACTTCAATTTTCACTTTGCCAAATGACAAATGCCCGCGAGCGCTTATTTCATTGCTTATTCATACGCCGTAAACATTTCGCACGGATCCACGGCGCGCAAATTCATTGGCGCCTGATTAAAGATGCATGCCTAAGGTGCGGCGCCTTGTTTCGCTTTTAATTTCGGTCTCGCCGCCGCGCCACGCTACTTCTGGCTTCTGTCTCCTGTCTCCTGGCTCCCGTGTCCTGCGGCCCGCAGTAGAGCCCAGGGAGATAATGTCATCCGATTTTGGCTCCCCCAAAAACCGCAAGGTTCCAACTGGCACTCCGCAGACGGCAGCCACAAAACGACACCGGAGTCGAGCTGCGGAGGCAATGGCGACAACAAACTTTCACAGCTCCAAAGGGGAGTCGAGTTGGGCCGAGTGGTGGCAGAGCGGAGTGGTCCAAGGGTGGCCGTCGTACAGCACTTGACACAAGATAAACAATTTGTCTCTCTGCGGCGCAAAAAAAGTCGAAATGGGCAGCTTGGCGCCAAACACCTGCAGGTGGTGGATAGTATAACTCTCTAGCACAAACTCGATCTCGGGGCCAACCGCATTCCGGAGCTGGTGAACCGTTCCGTTAAGAGCCCGACGCGCAACTGACAGGAGCTGCCAGCTACTGGTTGTGGCCGTAACACACACGGGAGACCCCAATAAAAGCCTTAAACTGAAACTGACAACTGTGGATGCTGATTCTGCGCAAGAGCATCTGTCCGGAGAGCATACTGGGAACAGTATTCGTATTCCCTCTGTGATAATGCAGGCCAGATGTCCTGTGCGTCGGCATTTCCGTTATACTCCAAAGTGCAGGAGCTGCAGCTCCTCATAATTACTTTCGGCTTTGGCCAGCGATTAGCCAGGAGAATATCTTAGATGGATGCTGATGATTCTGCTTTGGTTGCTCAGATTGTGAGCTGCATTTCCAGAATATTTTGGATGATGGCTTGCAATTTTAATATGCTCATTATGGGGAGTTAAAAATTGCTTGACTGCTGCTTCACTGGTTTTAAGGTAAGAGCTCTAAGCATTATAATAACAAATTTGTATTAGAATCTAAGTAAAGTTGAAAGGAGTTTAAAAAGTTTATTAAGGAATAACTTTCTAAATTTCTTTAAATTGTTAATAAACTATGAACTAATTATGAAAGTAGTACAGATATCGGTGTAGCTAGCAAAAATATCTAAAAGACACTTAAAGCCAAGGTTATAGATAAAGCTATTTCAATTCAACCACAAAATTCTCTTCAGTTAACTTTAGACCAACAATTAGACATATTAGAGGGACTATATATCGTGTTAAAGAGTTTAATCTTGAGAATTTCTAGAGCAGTTTTCTTCTTTCTTTTTTAAAAATAACTTTAAAGTATAGTAAGTACTATTTCCTATTGAAAAACAATTTCAATGCGGTTTGATACCGACTTAATATATCCTAGTATTCATTTTATTGACTTGTTCCTTTTTAAAGTACCAAAGTACTATAGTAGAACTACAAACGTGACCTGTGGAGTACAACTTTTACCTACATTTTTTTTTGAAAATATCATCCAATTCGATATAAAACCCATCATTCTTTGTAGTCCAAGCGCGCTTCATAATCCCTCCTCTATAAAACTCCCACATCATCTCTCATTTGCCCCAACATAACGTTAAATTCTCATGTATAGTTAGCAAATTCCTTTTTGGCCAGCGAATTGCATAACTGCCGAAAAGAAAGAACGCTCCAACCACATGCGAGAATCCCATTTCGAGGGAATCGATCGATCTGCGACCGGGAAATGGGCGGTTTGCATTCTGCTCGGTGGCTCGGTGGCTGCCTTTAACCGAAGCCAGAACAAATTTACATTCAAGTTTTCGACACAAAAAAAAGAGGAAAGAGAGAAAAATGGTTAAAACGAATGGCACAGTGGAGGAGAAAAGAAGGAACCACTGGAACTGCATACATCTATTGGAGGAATTGTGGCCGCAAACGGAGCCCCTGTCCCTCCGAAAATGCACCCTTGTTTATTGTGACCAGAGTGTCCTGCTCCGATGGTACATTCCCAGCGCCCGCTGCCAATTTACCCGAATACAAAACGCTTTAGGGTCCTATTTGGATACCGTTCAATGCACCAGGGACTTCTACCATGTATGACAAACAAACATAAACATTGTGTGCGAAACGGAGACCCCAAAGTATCGCATCCTTGGCGATGGCGGCTGCGGAGGCTATATAGGCTATGGAGAAGGATATGTTTGCGTGGCGCACTCTAATTAAAATTTGTGCCGCCGGCCCCTGGCCCCGGCTGCAATGCTTGCTAACTGTTTTACGAGGCAGCAGCTAACAGAAAACAAGCAAAAAAAAAATACGAGGAAAATTTCGAGAAAATCGTACTGAAAAAATGCTAAACCCGAACGGAAACTAAACAATGTCCGAGGACTTCCGAAAATGTAATAAACTCGGTTCCCCAGGCAATTTGTACTCGTAATGCTCGAATGAGCCGTAAAACGGTTTAGTGAAAAACAATTTAATTATTGTAACAAAAAATGTAATTAACATAATATAGAAATGGGAATTTTTGTGGATTATATTTTTATATGTATATATAATTTTTTATATGGGTTTCTTATAGTTTTTTAAATAGAAATGTACAATTGCAGATGTTTTTCATTATATTTTTAATTGTCTTATTAAAATGTAAATAAAACCAATACCAAATGGTCGCAGAATATAGAATAAAATGTATATATACAAAAATATTCTCTTTTTTTTATTTATTGTAAACAAATTTGTATACTATGCTTTAAATTTATGTTGACAGCTATGACTTTGAGTGCATTTGACAATTATTTAAGCTCTGGTAGAGTTCAGTTATTTTTCCGTTTTAGCAAGTCCAATATTTATATTATTTATAGGTTCATTCACAAAGTTAATAATTATATATTTAATGAATTAATTCTTTCGATTTAGATCTAAAAGAGAAGTCAACAAAGGCTTAAATACAGAATGGGTAAACTTTTAAAAGAGTTTATTTGGTTCAGATTGTAATAATGAAAAAAGTAAAGGAATAAATACTAATTCATTAAACCAAATAAATAAATAAGTTACAAAGATAATAATACTACAAATTAAGTCAAATATGAAGCGTAAATTATTAATCCGTTGTGATTAGCGCACTGATTTATAAGTTCTAAACTAGCAGCTTTAGGAAGTCCAATAAAATCAAATCAAAGTCAATAAATTCATGTATTAGGAGCCACGAAGCAGTCATGAGAATTTGTATTTAATAAAATTTATAATTTGTAGAATTTTTATACACCTTTCAATTGGTTTTGCTAACATTTTAAATCCTAAATACGACTACAAGTAATTACTAATGTTTGATAATGGTTATAACATAAATACATAAACCAATTATAACTCAACAGCTTTAGAAGTCATTAAATTATATTCTTACAAAGCAGTTAGTTTCAGCTATGTCGATTTCAAACGAATTCGAAAGTCCTGGCAACTACATTACAACCATTGAACTATGTAATTTTACTCTATTATTCGACCTTCTCCAGGCATTAATTGTGCATTGCATGACGTTTAATTGCAGTTAACTCTCGGATGTTCGGCCGGCAATGACATTTGTTTGATGTGTCGGGAACACACACGGAGAACAACATGTAGAACATGGTCATGGAATCAGTGGGCCTGGTCCCCTGACAAGATGCAAAGTTTTAATTGATTTCCTGGAGCCAGGAACGCCGGCACTCCCAGACTGTGGGATGGAGAGACACTTTGCCAGGCCAGGCAGAAAATCATAATTCAACAAGCGAATGGGAGCGGAGCAAACATGTCGGCAACAATTTTATGCCCGAGTTGGGGGACTCAGACACTGGCTGAGGTCGAGACTGCGGCTCTGCGGCTGCAAAGTCAGTTCGGTTCACTTTGGCCCGTGTTTCGGCTTAGAAGTTTCCGCTTTTGGGGCCGCCGGAGCAACTAAATGCCAGCCGTAAACTTTGGCTTTAGTGCAGTGCATTCCACTTGCCAAATAAAAGGCAAAGTGTTTTGTGTTTGCCATCGCTCCTGTCCAGACTCCTCCACCAGAAACCTAGGAGATTGTGACAACACACATAAACTTTCCGTAGGCACTCGAGCAGAGCCCCCTGACATGGCATGGCAATGGGTTATGGGATCCTGGGATACTATAGAAATACAGGGTATAAAGGAATGGCAGGAGTAGGCACAGTCACAGGCACGGGCCTCTGACTTTGCCTTCGTCATCGGCATCGGCATCCAGTTGCAACTGGGGAAAGCCAAATGTGCCATTTATAATTTAAGCGGGATTAAAGTTTCGTACAATGGCGCTACTTGCCACAGAACATGCCGCGCTTCGGTAAACTTTTTTTATGCCCGAAAGGATCTAGGAGCAAGGAGCCAGGAGTTGCCTCCTTGCCTGCAAATTTGACATCCGCGCCATCCCCCCACCGCGACATCCCCGACATGGCAAAGCGGATTAGGCAAGTGGCCCCAAGACAAGTTCCATGGAGCGAGCAGGAAGGCCAGCGAGCGACGACACTTCCCGAGTTCACTTTCTTCGGAAATTTCCTCAAATTGGGAAGCACTCGTGAATTGGCGGGAAAACTGTCGAGAGCAGAGCTCACTCTACTCGCTGAATGGTGTAGTTTTATTAACGAGTTAAACTTTAATTAAGTGCACTTGCTTTAAACCAAAGGATGCGTCTTGAATTTTAATGCCTTTTAACGAGTCTAATTCAATGGCAAGTCTTGGCTTTTTTTTAGTGGCAGGATAATGTGTTCTTGGGATCTTAATAAATGTTTTTTTTTAACTACTACTAAAGTGGTTTTGAAATCTCATTTTTATAGATAAGAAATTAAGGTAATCTGGAGAGTACACAGAAAATAAATTTATCTCTGTTATAATTCGAATTATTTATTTGGTAAAGTTTTGACTTTCTAGGTTATATATTACCAATATTTTATCCCTTATCCTTATCCTGCTCACGTAATGTCCTAAATCGCATTATTGCCGAGATACCCCCTGAAATTCTAACTCGCTTGACACCTCTGGGCAAAACAATTTCCAAAGTTTGTCCCCAGAGTTTTGTCGTGAAATTGAAAACCGGAAAGCGACTAGGCGACTGCTTTTTCGTTCGGTGTGTGGCCGAAAAAACTGCATTTCGCTTTTGGCAAAAGCGCGCTGGAGATTTTAAAGCCACGCCCACATTTCCATGGCCTTCCCTGCAGCGCCCACGCTTTTCTCGCTTTTTGCCCCAGCGAAAATGTGTGTGAGAATGGCAAGACAGGAAAAAACAAAAGCAGGGGAATTGAAAGCCCGGAAAAAGCAAAAGCAGAAGCTGAAAAACAGAAACAGAAAGAGCCTGCCAGGCAGGCAGTGCTGCAATTTCGCAAATTGTCTTGGAAAATGGCGAAAATGCTTTCCCACCACACCGCAAGCAGGGTGGCATAAGCGCTGGGAAAGCCCCGGGCAGTTGTTGGATTAATTATGAAAAGTCCCTCCCACCTCCCTCACCGTCCCGACTGGGACGTGGGAAATGCAGGCTGGCATTGTTTTTGGGGGTCAGCAACTTAA